TAGAGAAACTGGAATTCCAATTCTTTTTCCCTAACTCTAAAACTGGTGCTTTTTTGCATTTCAGCCCCGTAACCATGGGCCTTCCCCTGGAGATAGAGAAGGGCCCCAGGCTCTCCACTACCCCCCGAGGAGACTTTCTCAGCAAGTACTCTTCGGCCTGCAATGAAAGCGTCACTCATCTGTGGCAGTAACTATAACATTAATTTTCTGGAAACACTTCTAAGTCCAAGTCCTGCAGGTCCTAGGGAGAGATACACATTCCTGTTCTGGAAGTCAGGGGGGAGCATTAGCCCTGGTCCCATTATTACCTCTGGTCACCAAAGTGACCCTGAATGCTTCCCTTCTCAGGCTACACCACCCAGGGGGTTTTGGTGACAAGAAAATAGGCATTGGCACAAATGCCAGCACCTTCCTGAACAATGAATTTTAATCCTTTTCAGAGATTTCTCTTTGTGTATCCTCTCCTCTTTCTCATCCCTTAGGCCAGGAACTTTATAAAGGTGGTTTTTGTCTATTTGTTGGTGTTGGTCTTAGATGCTAATGAGTTGTTAGTTTGTTCCAACTGATGAGTTTCAAATCTCTCCCTGGAGAAGCCCTTCAAGCATAGGAACCTGGTCGTTCTTGGTCATGCCGTATGCCTAGTGCCTAACTCTGTGCCTGGTATGCAGCAGACAATAAATGTTTGTTGAATGAGTGAATGGATGAATGAATTGGTCATACTCCACTATGTTCTAGAAAAATAGCAAATTACTTTAATACCTTGGCCAGAGGGTCTTCAGGAATTTTGCAAATACAGATTTCCAGACTTTGTCACAGATCTGCAGAAATAAAATCTCCATAGCAGGAGCCTGGGGATTTGTATTTTTAATAAGAAGATCAGACACTTCTTAGTAGTAGGCAAATTTTAGAAACATGATCCTGGGATTTTAAATAAATAAGCTTTCTCTGTGTAAGTGTCGCAAACAGTACTTTCCCCCTGTCATTTTATAGTCATTTTTCGAGCAACTACTGCAGGATTTCTGAGTCAATGTCAAGCATTTGTCTTTTTTCCCTGCTAGATGACATTGTTAACATGGATTCACAGGCTGTCTTTGGGTTTATACATCCTTTCACTTATTTATTCATTTGTTTGTTCATTCACTCAACAAGCACATATTGAAAGTCCAAGATGGGCTGGTTGTGTACAAATACATTTGGTTGTAAGAGGAAATGTTCACTGAAGTTACAGCTCCCAGTCCCTGTTCAGCGGCTTTCACTCTGTTTGACATGCAATTTTTGGTGGTGGCAGAGAGCTGGGGAGGACAGAGAAGCAGAAGAGATGCGGCGTGGCCCGTTGTCAATATTATAATACGATTCTGCCCTTGGCAGAGAACAGATGCTGAGGGACTTTCCAGATTCCTTTATTGGCCACAAATGTGGTTGGATAAAGTACTGTGCGCCACCACGGCTTGAAAATTATTTTTTTAATGCAGAAATTTGGGGGCAATGGTATCTGACTTGGAGCTATTCTCTCATGCTCGTGCAGGAAGACAGTTAATCTCCAAATGTAGCTTGTTCTTGCCACCTTGCCTATGGGCTTTCCTCTTAAAGGTGCTATTTCTAAAGCAGAGCTGAAATGCCCACTGGAATTGCAGGCTTGACCCTCTGCGATTTTATAGGTGTTAATGAATGTTTTTATTCATGGGTGTCAGAACTAAGCTAAGTAAAATAGGTATATAACAAGAAAGTACTTCTGTGCTCAAGAGACCTGTCTTTGGAGCTGGATGCTTGTGTGATCCAAGCCATCTTGGCCGCTCTGCAGAAGGGTATATCCACCTTGGCTACGTCCATCTGTGGGCTTAGCCTCTTCTCTGCCTCTAAACCCCAGACCTTCAGGGTTCATTTTACCTCTTTGACACTCAACTGGAAGAAAGGCCGGCTGCAACTAGCAAGCCCCACAGATATATGAAGTGTATCCTTTAATAATTTTGACTATTGTGTTACAATTGTCTCTGTTATTGCTGTAGCCGAGTCCCAAATCTCCCCTCTGTCCTTCCCACCCCTCCTGCCTCTTCCACACCTCCCTCCTCCGTACCTCCTTTCTCCTTAGTATCCACTCTATTTGGGCCCGTGCTGGAGCAAACTGTAGCCAGGAAGCTGTCAAAAAGCCTGTGAAGGCCGGGCACGGTGGCTCACGCTTGTAATTCTAGCACTCTGGGAGGCTGAGGTGGGTGGATCGCTCAAGGTCAGGAGTTTGAAACCAGCCTGAGCAAGAGCGAGACCCCGTCTCTACTAAAAATAGAAAAATTAGCAGGGCATCATGCACACCTGTAGTCCCAGCTACTGGGGAGGCTGAAGCAGGAGGATCGCTTGAGCCCAGGAATTTGAGGTTGCTGTGAGCTAGGCTGATGCCACGGCACTGTAGCTCAGGCAACAGAGTGAGACTCTGTCTCAAAAAATAAAAAACATAATTCTTATCGCCTTTATTTTCCTAAAACCTGCCCAACTTCCTGCCACCGATGTTCTCTCTCTGTGGTCCTCAGCCTTGGCTGCTGCTCATCAGAATCAGCTGGGGAGATGGGCATTTAAAAAACTCTGATGCCGGGGTCCCAGACTAATTCCATCAGGATCTCTGGGGCTGGGACCATGGCCTCATGATTTAAAAATTTCCCCAGGTGATTCCAGTATGCATCTGTCTTCATTCCCTTCAGTTCACCTTTTCTATCTAATAATTCGCTTGAGCCTCTAATTCTTTTTTGGAAAGTAGCCCACAGTTCTGTCATGTCCACATGTAGCCATTTCATGCATTGGACTTTTGTGGGCTGTTCCTAAAAGGGACCGGTGTATGGTGTCCATCCTGTTTACTGTAAACGGGGACCAGCGCGGAATCTGGGGCTGGGGGCAGCATGATGGTGCCGGGGAGACCAGCTGGGAGCGCCCCGCAGAGAACACAGGTGGGGCTTAAAAGGGAAGCCGGGTGGGCATGAGGAGCTGCAGCAGGACAGGCCCTGCGGGGCAGCTGGGGCTCTGCTTGTTCTTGGCCTGACTAGGAGAAGGGAGAATTTTCCTTTTATCTGCTTCTTTCCACTCAAAACAGTTTAGGACAGAAACCAGCCAACCAACCGACGTGCATACCAATGAAGAATGCCAGGATGGGGCGAGGACTGCAGGGTGCTCCAGGCAGGGCTGGGATGCACAACGTCCGCACCCTCCACCCTCGCAGCTCTCTCTCCTGCCCTCCTTTCCTGCTTCTCACACGACGGTTTCACTGCTCTGTCTCTGTCCTCTAGGCACAAGGCAGATTGTTTCCTGACAGCTTCCGAGTTTATGTGTTCCATTTCTGGCTAAACAAAGGAACTCAAACCACTTTGTTCCAATTCCACATTTTGCAGCAGAGAATCTTAATGGTTTTGGGTCAGGCATTGCTTGTGGCACACAGACAATTTGTCTATGGCCCAACCAGCAGCTGATTTTGTATGCGGTGGTAACTTTATTTCTTTGGATGGGGGAACAATTTGGCTATAAAATGCACTTGGGATAACTGGGGTTATAGGGTGTGTGCTCTTCCACCTCTATCGCCTCAGTTTCACTGTGATAAATTAATACTCATTGGTCAGAGGGAATCTTCGTGGTTATTTGTCAATTCTCTGATGGCGTGGCCATCAGCCTTAGACGAATGCGCAGGTTGGAGAACACACCGTTGCTGGGACAGCCATCCGTGGCAGAAATGGAACACGTGCGTGTCAGCTGGCTCGTCCGCGCCTGTGTGCACTGCTACCGTTTCGATCCAGACCTTGTCATTACCCAAATTTAGACACAGAGTAAATGTCTCCACAACCTACTAGTGGGACATTGGGCAAGTCATCACCTCTCTAAGGCTCAAGTGTCTTATCTGTAAGATAGAGGATAAAAATAATACTTATCATCATGTGAGGGTTAAACGAAATGAGGCACCTGAAATGCATGGCAGATTTAATAATCACTCAAGATATCTTAAATATTATTGTTTTAATTTTCATTATTAAGGGATCAACCTAGCTCACGAGATCTGCAAAGGAGATATCTTTTGATAGATACATAACAGATGCGCCAGGGCATTATGTTAAAGAGATCTCAAATCAGGATGAATTCTTAAAAAAATTCTACCACCCTTTGCTACAACCTGGCAGTGCTTACCAGTAGGGGTCAAAGGCTATGGGTTCCTTTTCTCTAGACCCAGGGACAAAGTAAAAGGGGTGGGGAGAAAGCCCTTTGCCAATTGGTGACTCTGGCAGGAGGCTGGGTTAGAGATAAGCATTATTGAACGAGCTTCGCTTTGCCCTACACCTAAGGTGATGAAACTGACAGATGTCATGACTTCCAGAAAGAGCAGGAGATAACCTCACTGTCCAGTCAACATTGCTTTTGCGTAGGCCAGAGCATAAGTCCAAGACTGCACGCAGAGGACTCCTGGATACGTAACTCCCATGTAGGTTGTCCTCTCATTGCTGGCTCTAATCCTGCTAGAGATTTTTGGGGAGGGGGAAGGAAATCAGCATTTTTAAATTATCATGTGCTAAACACTACTATGTGCTGTGTGCAATACAGCAGCCCCCCTCATCTGGGGGTATCCAATTCCAAGACCCCGCAGTGGATGCCTGAAACTGCCGGACACTAGATATACTATGTTTTTCCCTATATATATATACCTATGATAAAGTTTAATTTATAAATTAGGTACAGCAAGAAATTAATAATAGCTAACAATAAAATAGAACAATTATAACAATATACTGTAATAAAAATTATGAAGGTTTATCTTTTAATATTTGCTGTATGTGATTTTTTCCTGAATGTCTTTGATTTTACCACCCTAACCCTTAATATTCTCTGCAAAAGAAGGGAAAACACTTTTCTAATAAATTTTTTTACATCATCTTTTATTATAGTCAATAAATATACTTTTATATATGAAATCATCATAGAATTCATATTTTAAGGCACTAAATCTCCAAAGTTAAGGAACCTATTATTATACTTTGCTCTCTAATATCTTTTTTCTTTTTCTTCCTTCATGCTGCAGTAGTGCACTATGCTCTTGAATTTCAAACACCAGAACATGGGAAGCAAAACTACTTAGTTTTGAATTTGCAAGTTTACATTTAATAGAATAATTAAGTACCTTCAGAAATCTCAAGTAAGAAATTAACAGGCCAGAGGCCGACGAACTGATATTCCCGACATGGTTTGATTATCACTTGGTTTATTCTTATTATTAATTTACCTTTTTATTTACAAATCTAAGCTGAGTGACAATTCTAGCTTTAGAGGGTACGATATAGCTAACAGACGAGACGTATCCGCTCACTCTCCGGAACTCTGCACGTGTATCTTGTTTTAAGCTGCTAATGATTCATGTCTTGAGCCTCTTACTGAGCAGGGCGTGTTTATCTGTGCACGCACTGTTTCTCTTTCTGCTGGGGCTTTCTCTGGAGTTGGTGGTGCCACCGCTGAGCAGCTGCAGGTGTGCTTCCTTCGGCACCTGCAAGACAGGCACAAACCACCTCTGAACCAACCGGCCTCATGGGACTGACTTCACAGACCAACTAACCAGCACAGAAAAACAAAGCAAAACAGTGCTGGGTGTTCCCCCTAACCCCCTTGTTCGTCTATCTTCAATAGACACTGGAAATGTGATGTCAACATAAAATCTGGGACTCCAAGTCAAGATTTCATAAAAATGTGTGCCAATTTTGATTTTTTTTTCAAGATCCTTTTCAACGTTTGGCGAACTAGTTTTTACAGTTGTGACTCTGTCTTAGACTTGATAAGCTACTCTTGAACCATCAGAAAATAACTGATTCCTGCAACTGGTTTGTGTTGTTCGAGGAGACAGAAGCCATCCTGTTGGCGGATCATCTGCTCCCACTCAAACAGCCCAATGTTTTTCAATTACGAAAAGATTTTGCTGACTGGCCTGGATGTGCAGGCAGGCTCTAGGCACTGAATGTTCCTTTATGCATCTAAGCCGTGAACAAATAACAAATTATGCAACACAGCCTCTCGAGGTTTTGCCTTTCTGTTCCTAACCCGGGGTGCTCTTTCTCACACCGTGGGCAGTGTGAGGGGAGAATGGAAAAAGCCCTCGGCTGGAAGCACATCAATGCAGGAACTAGGCCACTGGGTTCCAGACGGTTCCCAGGCCCTGCTGCCATTCGAGGTTAGCATTAAGTTCATTTCAGAACTGAACTCTGGCGCTTTGGAACCACGCGGCGTGGCTGACGCTTGCACTGGCTGCAAACAGCAGCGTGTGGGGGCCACAGGCGCTGTTGGGGGTCCCCAGAGCAGACGGGAAGGAGCTTGGGCCATTGCTGTCATCTATGTTAAAGGCACTCTTTGCAGGTCTGAGGGTTGGTTTTTTGTTTCTGTTTCTCATATGGGAATGATCCTGTAAGAATGGATCTTTGGCTTTATTCTCCTGAAGCAACAGGACACGTGCCTTGGAAATTTAATCGTGCACGCAGCAGTGCAACAGGAAGCACACCTGAGCACAGGCCAGTTTTGTTCTAGTGGTTGCTGTACAGTTGTTTGTAAAAATTTGCATTCCTTTTCCTTAAATTCCCAAAGTTTTAAACTTTCCCTCTACAAATAAAGTAGCCAACCCTTACCTCTGTTTTGCATGGAGGAGTCTCAGAAATCACACTTGCAGTTTGGGCTCCCAGGGCTTCTTCTAAAACTAAATCAAGGAAGATGTAATGGAGAAGAGAGAATAACAACTATCTTTAAAAAAAAAAAACCTTTGTGGTATCTATATGAATACCTTTAATGAAGAATAGAGAAGTAAATGTCATGTGTTTAAAAAGTATTGCTATTAAAATTGCTTTTAGCCTGGGCGCGGTGGCTCACACCTGTAATCCTAGCACTCTGGGAGGCAAAGGCAGGAGATTGCTTGAGCTTAGGAGTTCCAGATCAGCCGGAGCAAGAGTGAGACACCCGCCCCATCTCTACTAAAACCAGAAAAATTAGCTGGGTGTGGTAGCATGTGTCTGTAGTCCCAGCCATTGAGGAAGCTGGGGCAGAAGGATCGCTTGAGTCCAGGAGTTTGAGGTTGCTGTGAGCTAGGCTGACACCACAGCACTCTAGCCCAGGCAACAGAGCAGGACTTTGTCTCAAAAAAACAAAAAAAAACAAACAAAAAACCATATATATATATCTCAAGCAACAACAAAATGATCTATCATTTTAATAGTGCTTTTTACTTTCTAATCTATATTCCTAACAGAAAAATAAACTAATTTAATTACATGATATAGGGAAACAAAGGACACATTTTTATGACTGTAATTCTGAATGACAAACAAGTCCTTAAAAGTTAAATTGTAATAAAACTATTTTAATAATTTTTAAGTACCAATGACTGAATATTTTAGTAATATATTAAATTATTATTTTAAAGAAGCAGCAAAGGAAAAAATTAAAACAAAGTTGAGCAATTCAGCATATAGCAAAAAATTGGTACCTATAGGCTATAATGTTTATTGAAACATTTCACGTATATTGAGGCACAATGCTGGATAACCGCACGCTGCAGTATTTACGGTACATGGTGCAATGCAGACATGCAGCTTTAAATATACTAGCTATTCTAAAGTAAAAAGAAATTATAAAAATTAAAGTGTACTATTTCAGTAAAAATCTTAGATTAGGAATTACATGAGTGCAAACTGAAAATTTCGATTTAATAACTAAGAGTCCATGTAGGTGTTATATTTTGGCTATCTTTTTCTAGTTCTAAATGGAAAGGTACGCATTTATTTATGTCCTGCCTCACTTCCGCCTTGAATAACAAGGGAATACAGGGGCAGGTATGCCCAGGCTAGGGTGGGGGAGTTTGGGGGCAGGAGCAAGGAGACATCTTAAACGTCCCTGGACTGACCTGTTAGGACCCCGTCCAGCTGGTCCACCAGGAACTCTGCATCTTCTCCAGCGAAGCACATGGGCGGCTTTAGTTTCAGCACATTTCTATGGGGGCCGTCGGCACTGAGCAGCACACCTTTCTCTTTCATCCTGATTGGTGCAGAAGATACACGTGAGTGCATACGAATGGTAACTAAGGCTATTTAAGAATGATGGAACAAGAGCGGTTACGCATTCTGCAATCATGAAGGCCACATTTATAAGCTGCATGTGTCTTAAAATTTTCCTTTTTCAGAGAGGCAGGAGGAAGTAAAACACGATTTCGGGCGGGGTGGGCGCTTGGAGCCAAGAGGCCGGTGGGCGCGGGGGGACTGACTTGTAGATGACGTGCTGAGCTTCGGCTGTGGCAGGGGTCCTTTGCTGGGGGTCCTTCACTAAGTCGATTCCGACAAAAAGGCCAACGCCCCTGAGGGAGTGAAGGAAGACAGCCTGACACACGCTCCGTCAAGCACTGCGTCGCCACAAAGCGTTGACAGGGTCCCCAAACTTCAGTTTAATTTGAAACTTTCATGCAACATGCCAGTGTAGTGTTCACAGTGGTTTCTAATGTTTGTCATCCAAGTTTCTTCTCAATTATTTAAAAAGGCTTAAACAATCCTCTCATGCTATTTAGTTTCTTAGGGCGATAATGATGGTAAATGTTTACATACATCTATGAAAAATGTCCAGCTTTTCCGGATAGCATTTTAAATAATTTTCAATAGATCCTTTAGTGTTACTTTAAGTTCCTTCTTTTTATCTTTTGGGAGCTGAGATTATCTCAGCTTTATTAACAGAGAAAAGGTGTAAAGGTCGGGAAAGATACATACCGACATGCTACCGGTGGTGGTACCTGGGTTCTGGAGTAAAAATGAATTTTGATTTCTCTGGGGTTTTTGTGTGTTTTCTCTTTTTTTCTATATAAGATAAAATCTTAGCTATTTTCATTTTGAATAAATAACTACATGACAACTTCATGATAAACATACCTAATATCTCCTATCAAAGGGTGTTTAGCCTTCTGTTTATTCAGTAACTCAGTAAGATAATTCCCTACTTTCAAGGCGTTTCCTTGAAGGTCTTCATTTTCAATTATATCCAGGACAGCCAAACCAACAGCACAAGATACCGGATTTCCTCCAAACTGTACAAAAAAATAGATGAGAAACATAACAGTTGAATTGGTCATATTGCTTCACCTATAAGAAATTATATATTGAAGATACAAGTTCTATATAATTTTCTCTTATAATATTAGTTTCTCAGATTTAGAATATAACATGATTCCATTCATTCAGGATTGAGTGAAAATTCATTGCAAATTATATTCTCCAACACAACCTCTGCTAGATAACTTGTCTAAAGAAGTATCAAGGAATTTATTGGCTTGTCCAAACAGAAAACAGACATTAAGTTGGGAATTAAGATTTTCAGAGTAGAGTGTGGTTCATTGAGGAAATAGGGGTTTCTACCACTGAAGAGCTGGGTGAAAACAACTAAGCAATGACATTTTCTCCAAATAATTTGTGTCCTTAGAGTAGATTTTTACCTTCAGCTTTTTTTTTTTTTTTTGAGACAGAGTCTCACTTTGTTGCCCAGGCTTGAGTGAGTGCCGTGGCATCAGCCTAGCTCACAGCAACCTCAAACTCCTGGGCTCAAGCAATCCAATCCTGTCTCAGCCTCCTCAGCAGCTGGGACTGCAGGCATGCGCCACTATGCCCAGCTAATTTTTTCTATATATATTAGTTGGCCAATTAATTTCTCTCTATTTATAGTAGAGACAGGGTCTCGCTCTTGCTCAGGCTGGATTAGAACTCCTGACCTCGAGCAATCTGCCCACCTCGGCCTTCCAGAGAGCTAGGATTACAGGCGTGAGCCACTGCGCCCGGCCTTACCTTCAGGTGTAACAGATCCTGTCACACACACTGCACAAACTACATAATTTTTCCAAGCTTAAAGCTTATGACTTTGGGGAATAAAACCAAGCAAATAAAAATTCATAGATAAAAATTTAGTATTTCTTATGACAGCCATACAACGTTCATTGTACTGAGTCATCCGAACACTTTATGATACAAAACAAAGGAGATCGTTTCACCTTTAATGAAAATACCATAGCCTCTATGTCAGGGGTCCTCAAACTTTTTAAACAGGGTCCAGGTCACTGTCCCTCAGACCGCTGGAGAGTGTGGGGCACATTCCACACATGCGCACTGCGGGCCCGGGACACGAGTCAGCTGCTAAGCAGGAAAGGCAGTGGCAGCAAAAACACCCAGCGGGCCAGATAAATGTCCTTGGTGGGCCATAGTTTGAGGACCCCTGCTCTAGAGTTTAGCAGGGCCACCACCTATCATTGGAAAAATTAAGACGATTTTAGGAAGGGGAAAGATACGAAAATACAAGGAGCATTTTGCTAGACAGAATGAAATATGGTTAGATCAAAGTTTGGCTAGGCTCCTGGCAGGGTTAGCTGGCAATACTGAGCTTTATTCTTTACTACATTTGCAAGAAGTGTAAGAACACACATTTATTTTTCCCTCTTAGCATTAAAGTTGGAGACCGGAATTTACCGTATTGAAATACTCCATCCCAGAGCTGCTGAACGCTTCTGCAATTTCTCTGGTTGTGACCACACATGCCATGGGGTGGCCGTTGCCCATTGGTTTCCCCATAGTGACGATGTCCGGAACAAAGTCTTCGCCATGCATTTGGAAGCTCCAGAAGTGACTCCCAACCCGGCCAAAGCCTACCTGAACTTCATCAGCTATAAACACACCCCCTGCTCCCCGCACGTATCTGAAAAGCAAAGAGGCAACCTAATGCCTTCAGGTCACTGAGTCCCCAAACCCACCCACAAAGATGCAGATTATGGAAGAAAAAAGGGTGTTAACCTGAAGCCTTAATCATTGTTAAAAACTTTCAGTACTCCAAACCCCACATAGACATCACTGATTTTACAATATAATCATGTAATTTCTAGATTAGGTATATCCCATATTTTCAGGTTTGTGCTGCTTAAAGTAAGCTATATTGCAGTATTTTAAGCAGGAAAAGGAAGGCTGGAACAATCGGCTTTTAGCAGGGTTCATCTCAGATGTTTACTAATTGGCAAGTCTTGTGCACCAGCCAGGGAGGGAGGACGCCAGGCTGGGGGCTGCAGCCAAGGCCTGAGGTGCCCCTGCCGGGCCACGAGCGAACCCTTTATTGGCTGGATCTTGGAAAAGGTTGGGGTAGCGTCCAGGAGTCCTGGGACGGCGGGCACTCAGGTGTGGCTATTTGCCAGCTAATCTGGAAGAACTTCAGTATTTTAGCAACCAGCATGGCCCCACAGAAGTGTCACAGTGCCCTCGTCTGACCCAGGACGCCCAAGTCAAGTACATACTCTGCCACTTTCTGGAAGTAGCCTGCTGGAGGAATTATTTGTCCGCCACAACTCTGCATGGATTCAGCAATAAAGGCAGCAATCTACACAAGACAAGATGGGGTCAAAGTCCATTAGGCCCCCTTCCTACCCCCTGAAAGAGAGGATCTCTTATAGAGCAGGTTATTTAAAAAATGGCTACGAATAGACCCGTTCCAAGTGGCACATAGGCCATTTGATTGAAAGGAAAAGAAAGCAACTGATTTAAAACATTAGTTACTAGGCCACCACGAGAGATAGAGATGAGAGGGTGACTTCCATTTCCCCATCATTAATTTACGTGCAGTGGTTTCATTAGGATGTGCTGAATTAGACTGATGTTCCGATCAGCCTTAATATAAACCTCGAAAAATTACCCAGGTTCCAAAGTCACTGCTGTGGTCCCTCTCTCCTCAGCTTTGTGGAATATTGCTGGAGGCTGAATTCGCACCTCGGAAATGGGAGGGTGACTTGTGGCCACACACTGTGATTACTGTGCTATGTTTCCAGGGCTTGCCCTGACCCAGGCTTAACTCAATAGAGGGCAGTTAACAAAAGGACCTACAGATGAAGTGTTCTAGAGGCGGGGAGAGTAGGAAAGAGCCCTGAAGTAGGAAGAGAAACCGCAAAAATAAAAAAATAAAAAAAAAAAGTGTGAGCTAAATCAAGGGAACCAAGAGTCTAGTTCAGGTTCTTAGTAAGTGTATTACCTTGGGTTAACTCCTTCACTTTTCAGTTATTTGGTGATTTCTGCTCTAAAACTCCCCAACTTTACCAGCACATCTGATATTTAGAAGTCCTTATCTTATATTTGCTCACTCCTTTCAGCGCTGCTAACACGACAGCATCAGTCCAGTAACTACTGAATGCTAACCCTAACCCCATTATGTTCTTGAAAAACTATCCATACCCTCTTTTAGTAAGAAAGAGTCCATACAATCTTGTTAATGTAATTTTTTTTTCTTGAAAGCATTGTTTACCATTCAGGTAAAGAGGTATAGGCTATGTTTGGAGGGTAGCTGTGCCCACCACTGTGGCTCCAGCGCAAGGCTGTATTTGAAAGGAAGACTTTGATGTTCCACACGATAGAGCTTTAGGTCTACCCTTGAAGATACATCACATAAGGAGATAAGAAAAAACAAATGGGTTGGGAAGAAAAAGAAGAGAAATAGCTGAGAAATGTGAAGTTAGTCATGAAGACAAAAATATTTTAATTAATTTGAAAAAAGCAAAGGCTTCATTTTCAATTTAATTACAGATTTTTTTTTGAGACAGTCTCACTCTGTTGCCCAGGCTAGAGTGAGTGCCGTGGCGTCAGCCTGGCTCACAGCAACCTCAGACTCCTGGGCTCAAGTGATTCTCTTGCCTCAGCCTACTGAGTAGCAGGGACTACAGGCATGCGCCACCATGCCTGGCTAATTTTTTAAATATATTCTTAGTTGGCTGATTAATTTCTATTTTTAGTAGAGATGGAGGTCTCACTCTTGCTCAGGCTGGTCTCGAACTCCTGAGCTCAAACGATCCACCTGCCTTGGCCTAATTATGGATTTCTTAAATTGCCACATCTATGCCATAAGCCAGTTTAAAGGCAAAGTATTGTCAAGTTGCATCAAAAATCCATATAAGTAACCCCCAAATGGGCCAAGAATGGAACATTAAGCTGAAGACTGAGAAAATGAGAACCTGTTTTTCCTGCTTCCTGAGGATTCTGGTTCCGTTTTAGATTGCAAGAATGCATATGTGCCTTGGCTCACCAGGTGCAGACCATCCCAGGCTCCGTGGCTTCAGGAAGGTCGAGCTGGTTCAAGGGAAGCACCAAGCTCCCTCCTCTGTCTCTTCTCTTCCCATCACCATGCATTGACGCCTCGGGCCATTGTCAGTGGAATGGTCTGTCCCTGAGCTGCTACCTCTCCTAATCCCCTCTTCCTCCACCCCCCTGGACTAGACCCTGCACGCCACTGACAGGTCAGAATTAGGCCATAGGTTCTGGAACGGGCAGAGCGATTGTGTTTCCAGGATAAATTAAGAGTAGACAGTCTAGAAGCATGACTGTAATAATGCACTTTTGGAAATATGAACCAAGTAACCAGAGAAGGACAAAAAAGGAAGTTAGAGCTAATCATTTTTTCCATCTCCCCAGTGAATTACAACAGTTTTGATCCATTTTATAAATGATGTTAAGAATGTTTCCGAAGCTGCAAATACAAACCTTCCTTCCACTGTCCTGAGCTTCTTCAATGATGCTCTTCACTTCTTCTGCGTACGCAGCGGCTGGGTCAGCGTGGTCTTCTCTGTATTTTCCCCTGTAAGTGTCTGGGACTGGTGCCTGAACACAGCAAATCACGCAGTTTCTCATTATTTGCCTCTTTGACAAGCTTTTTTTTTTTTAAAAAAAAGGCATTTTCCCGCAAGGGCCTGTTAGAGAGGTGATCATATGGATGGAAGTGACTCTAGGTACTTTTGCTCTTTTTTTCTTTAACATTTCTGAATTTTGTGAAGAACTGACATCTTTGAGTTGTGAACAGGAGCTTGGATTTGCTCCCAGACTATAATTTAATTTAATTTTGAACAGTCACATACACTCAGTTCAAGTCTGAATTGAGTTGGCATCAGTGATAAAAAAAGGCAATTGATAATCGAAGAGCAAAAAATCAAAATGATAGCTCTGAATAACATACTCTATTACTAAATTAATATGCCTATTATAATGTTCATCAATGAACTGTAAGCCATATTCTGTCATTATCTCGCTCTTTGACTCTAGCAAGTCACACAGCTGCTCCAATCTTAGTTTATTTTTCATGATTTCATTTCGATGAAAGTATTGGGCTGGATTATCACAGCATTCTTCCAGCGCCAACAGTCGGATTTTAAGATTCGAAGATACTTACCACATGTACAAATTCTTTCTTGACATCTTTGCCCTTCCGAAACTTGTATGGACTGATCTCAATTAAGGATGATAGGTGGCCATGGTAAGCACTGAAAAGAAAAACTAGGTAACCAAAATCACTCCAGGAGGGAGGGTTTTCTAATATGTGAGAAACAGTGTTGCATTTATTCAGGAAGACTCAACACTGGTGCCAAATTTAAACATACAGGAATTTTTTTTTTTTTTTTTTTTTTGAGACAGAGTCTCCCTCTGTTGCTGGGGCTAGAGTGCCATGGTGTCAGCCTAGCTCACAGCAACCTCAAACTCCTGGGCTCAAGCGATCCTCCTGCCTCAGCCTCCCAAGTGGCTGGGACTACAGGCATGCGCCACCCTACCCGGCTAATTTTTTCTCTGTATATTTTTAGCTGGCCAATTAATTTCTTTTATAGTAGAGACAGGGTCTCCCTTGTTCAGGCTGGTCTCGAACTCCTGAGCGATCCTCCCGCCTCGGCCTCCCAGAGTGCTAGGATTACAGGTGTGAGCCACCGCGCCTGGCCTCTATTAAGTTTTAAAAACAACTTTATATCATAGAATGAGCACATATTTCTATTTGGGATGATTTCTAAAGGATGTCCAATTGCAAAAATCGGACAAATACTACTTGGAAAGGTACAGAAGGTCTCTTCAAGAACCCATATTGAGATGTGATTAAAAGGCTGTGAAGTTCCTTTCTCTCACTTAAAATTCAAGTGGCTATGATATTCTTTTTTCTGTTTCTTGTCTGGAGACATAACTGGGAGATCTGGAAAGGAAATTATAAAAGGCCCGTGAATCGATAAAGCAAAGAGGAAGAACTTGCCCTGCCGTAGATTAAGACATGCCACAAAACCACAGAAATACATTAGTGTGGTTCGGGAATAAGAACAAAGATACCAGTAGAACGGAAACAGCTCGGAGACACTTCCACAGGTATATGACAACAAAATGGACTCCAATTCACTCTAAGGAGTAAATTAGGAAGGTAGTAGAAGAAAATGCAGAACATCTTTGTGATCTGCAGGGTGGGACAGGTGGGAAGAGAGAGATTCACAAAATTCAAAAAACACAAACTAAAGACAAAATCTTTTCTATTTGATTTAATCAGACTCAAAGATTTCCATTGAAGGACGCCAAACACGAAGTTAAAAGACAGATGGTAGATTGAGAAAAGCTATTTAAAATATCTCAACTTAAAAGGGCCTAACCTGATGACTCTCAACTCTGCCTGCATATTAAGATCAGTTGGAGACTCTAAAAGAAAATTATGATTCCCTAGAATCCACCTCTAGAGATTCCCCCTTAATTGGTCTGGGTGGGGCCTTGGCATCTAAAAAATATTTCCCCAGATGAATATAAATTGCAGTCAATGTTGAGATCCTCTGACCTAGACTACACAAAGCAACAACAAACCAGTGAGAAAAAGATGGGAATCCCAACAGAAAAATGAGAAAAGAATCTGAACAGGCAATTCTCTGGAGATCATAAAAGCATCAAACTCAAACTCTTGATTAGAAAAATGCAAATTAAAACAACATTAAGATGCTATTTTATACCTCCTAGACTGGCAAAAATTAGGAAAACATTATAAAGCTGGACAATAAGTTTTCGTGAGGGTGTGGGAAAAGCGGGAACTTGTCATCACTGTGTAGAATGTGGCAGCCTTCGAGCAGCCCCACGTGGCCGAGTTCTGTCAAATTAGCCATGTTTGTGGCCCACCCCTGGCCTAGCCATCCTGCTCCTGAGTATTTACCCCTAATAAAGCCTCAGGAAGATCTACCAGGGCACACGTACAAGTGTGCTCACTGCCGCGCGCCTGGTCGCTGGGGGTAGAGGGCAGTCACCGCATCCACCATGGGGACACTATGTCATAGAACTACGCCACAGTCCCCTAAGGCAGCCATCCCCACACATGGCTACCGCGGGCTGGAAATGCAGCTAGTCTGATCGGAGACAAGCTGTAGAAGACTTAGTACCCAAAAAAGTAAAATATCTCCATATCTTTTATATTGATTACACATCGAAATGATAAGCACCTTAGCTATAATGGCTACTGGAACATTGCAAATTGTTTATACGGCTCACATTACATTTCTCCTGGGCAGCACTGAGATGACTAGAACAGACGTCTGCCCAGCGACATAGAGTTCTCGAAACAGTGCTGAGAGCAAAAGGTGGAAACAGAAAGAGACCGTTGCAATTTCTGTAAAATTAAAACAGATGTACATAAAAGACACATTTTACATAAATACAAAAATAAAAGATATATATTAAATAAATCAGAATAGCTGTCTATGAGTGAGGGAGGATGAGAATAAATAAGAGACCCCAGGCTGTCACACGGTAATACTCAGAGCCTGGGAGCATGCCAGGTTCCATGGCACAGGCCACCTCGCGGACCCGACTGAATCAGGCAGTGTGAGACGGGGAGCGCCCTGGGTCCTCCTGAGGGTCTGTATGAGTGAAAGGAGGCGGCAGGGTCGGAGACGGAGGAGGCTGAGGCCGAGATCAGGAGCCAAGGAAGCCCCAGAGCCCCCAGGAGCGCAGCCCGGTCGATGCCTTAACTTCAGCTCAGTGGGACCTATTTTGGGTTTCTCACCTACAGAAACGTAAGAGAATCAGCGAGTTGTTCAAACCCTGAAGTGTGTGGTAACAAACACGGCGACAGTAGAGAACGGGTACGCTAACCGTCGCACAGGGCCAGAGCAGCCGACACAAGGCCCAAAACGGGACGTGTCCCCTTCCACCCTCTGCATCCAGGGTGCGCGGGGGAAGGGCAGGCAACTCCGTCTCTGAAGGCGCCTGCTGCTTGGAAACCCGCGTCCCAGACTTACTGCTCAAGAGTGATCACATCTTGGTGGCCTCTGAACTGCCGGGCCAGGCGTAAGGCTAAGTCATTGGCTTCAGATCTAGGGAGATAACAGAGAGGGGGCAAGGTGACATCATCTCTTTATAAAATATTCTAAATGTTAAGTACAAAAGTTGTATGATTACATTTATTCCGAAAATTTATAAAGGAGTAAGTTGAAGTCCTCTCCTTCCCCTTCCATCTCGCCACCCCGCGATCCCACTGGGCCCTTCTCCTACAAGGGCCCCAGATGCTTTCAACAGAGACTGAGCTGCACAGAAGAGGGCAAATAAAAATCAAGGGTGTCCTGCCCATGTCAAACGTCAGTCCAGTCCAGCCACATCAGCACATGAGCCGCTCTGGGGACACGGAGCCCGCGCTGAGGCTGGTCTTAACAGAAGGTGCGGCATCTGCGGGGCATGGCGGGGCTGCCCAACGTTGCTATATTCATCCAATGTTTATGATCAGTTTCCTTATTTCTAAAATGAGGATCATATTTTTTCTCTCTGGTTCAGAGTCTAAACACGCTATCCAGACACGGAGGAAGAAAATAATCATTATTGTAATGTTCACTACCTGCCAGACACTATGCTGAGTGCTTTACTTATGTTTATTCTCATAACAACTCTGCAAGACAGGTATTGCCATCTCTTTTTTATGGATGAGGAAACAGCCTCAGAGAAGGTAAGTAACCAGAATGAATCTGATAGCTCATAAGAAGTAGAGCCAGGATTCAGACTGAAGCCTGTTTAACTTCAAGACTATAATTCTTTGTCCTAGATGTGCTCTGTCATATCCAGTCTCTGTGGACAGTGTTGTTTGGCCTTGATTTCTCTTTGACAGTGTAGAATTCCTTAGAAATGGAAGTCAAATATTATGCTTCATTTATTAAAGGCAACAATGCCTTATAACAAGTTAGATTCTAAGAAACCTTCTTAATTCTTTACAAAGAAGAATAATCTTCTGGCTATAAATTTGGTTTTAAGATATGTCATTGAAAAGTGACTCACAGAAAATCATATAACGAACATTCACAGAATTTCTAATAGTTAATTTTAATATACGTGTATCATTTTTAAAGAAATAGGAGTTTCTGCTATATAGACAGCCCCCCCAATGTAACATTGCATTTTGAGCCTGTATTTAGGCACACATTTTCAAAACCATACTTTTTAATATCTGCATAACATTTCGTAGAATGGATATTATAATTTGAATTTACAGAATTTTAAAGCTGGAATGTATTCACTTGAATTTCCTTCTTTCCTTTCTGTTGGGAAAATAAGCTCAATTTCTTTAAGAAAACAAATTAATCAAAAAGCTTAAAAACGTTTTAGCTTGTTTAGTAGTTACTTCTTTGCTAGAATTCCTTATGCCCGCTTTGAGAGAACTGTCTTGGCCTGTGAATTCCTTAGCTACTCACTCCAGCCCCAGGAGGTGAGCATCATGGACCAGTTAGGTTCAGAGTCATGCAAGGAGGCGGAAGAACCAGAAAGGCCAGGCTGGTGAGCGCTCACTGAGTGAACTGCAAGAATCTCAAACCTTTTTAGACATCTGCGCTCCACCACGAATCAATTGCAAGGAAAGGTTTGCATGAGAAAGAGAGTTTAGTAGAAATGGGGGCGGGGGGTGGGGATGGGGTGGGGAGCTGCAAACATACCCTGAATTTGTAAAATAGCAAACAGAGAGTTTCTCCGGCAGGGTTGCTGAAAGGCGCTTGGCATACTCGACAATGTTGTCGTGGAGGAATCGGGAATTCGTATTGAGAAGCTCCATCTGCTTCAGGGCAGCTCTGACCACTTCTGGGTGGCAATGTCCCACTAAAATTTGAGACAAAAGCCCAAGAAATAAGTCACAATGCTAAGTGCCTGGGAAGTCAGGGGAATTATGAAGCAAGAAAAAAATTTAGTTGAGTTTCTTTCTCTTGCAGATTTTGCTGCAATTTTCCTCTGCTAGGACTGCTGGCCCACTCAGCAAAGAAACTGCAGCCACTGCAGTTCCTGAGACAAATATTAACTGTTCCAAGTCTGCCTCTTTCCATAAACATTGTCTTCAAAGCACTGCAGAGGCAGGACATTTACCGTGGGCAACGTTGTTGATGCAATCCAAATACCGTTCTCCCTTCTCGTCAAACATGTACTGCCTCTGGGCTCGCACTATTTTCACGGGATCCGCAGCAAAGAAAACTTTGCATGAGGGCCTACAAAGAATCAAAAGAAACATTTTGGTCCGTCGGACTTCTCAGTGCTTTTCCTTCACAAGGAAGGTCACCATCAGTGGAAAATTACAGTTGCATAAAGGACAGGGAAAGCCCAACCCGAGAGACATACATTTCATATCACCCCGGGGCCTTTTACCTTAATCCCGTCTTGGTGACATTGTTCACATTTCTTGTGCTGGTTATTCAATTCACCCAGACTTGACAACTTATTCACAGGCCTGTGGGTCAGATCCCTGACGGCGCTGATCACACAGACCAATAACCAATTTTCCTTTGGGACATTTTGTTCTCTCAGAAAAAGAAAATAAGCAAACCTTTTTTGGGGGTCTTACTATGTCTCAGAAACTGTTACATATAAGTATTATCTCATTTAATCATCTCAACAATCCTATAAACCAGGAGTTATTATCATTCTCACTTTTACAGGGGAGGAGACCAAGGCACAGAGAAATTAAGAAACTTGCTCAAGGTTGCACAGCTAATAAGTGAGAAAATCAGGATTTGAAAGCAGACTGTGTTGTAACAGCCCGAGATATCTTTGTTTCTCTTTCTCTCTCCTTCTGATCTAATTTATAAAGAAATAAATAGCACTATGATCTAAATACAAATAACTTAGAGTTAAACACATGAAGGAGCTTGTGTGAAATGACCTATAAAAGCTAAGGTATTTTGGCTGGTACTTGTCCTGTCCAACTGTCCTGTTTTCCATTCTTAAACAATGAAATTCAATCATTCTTCTAACCTCTTCATGCACTCTTTTGAGCATAATAAAAATTCACCCATATTTTCAGTTATTTGAATGAATGGGGTATAAATTTTAGCAGCAGAAACATCCTAAGTATCTGATCTTGGTTTTATGGTCATTTAAGAACTAAAGTTGAACACATACATACATGTATATATATAAATACACATGTATATACACACATGTATTTACTTTGGTGATTTTGCATACACAAAACTCCACACACAGTGGAGGCAGTTCTAGCGGTAATCAGATACTTATAACATGTGACTGTTTAGAAAATATTTTGATTATTGTGAGCAGTGATTTCAAATTTTAAAATTGCTTAAGGTTGTGTTCTATATAACTGCTATTTTTGAATATCATCAGCTAAAATGAAAATAATATTTAATAAGAACTTCATATTGGTTCAGACTCAGCTGTTAGTTTATAGCTACAAGTTAAAATCCAAAGACAACCTTTGTTAGGAATGTGAGCTGAGAGCTGCAGACTTCAACCCCCTCGCCAGTCAGACTCCAGGTAAAATCCTCCTTCCAGGCAGCCCCTGCTATCTTCCTGCCCTTACTGAATTTGTTCGGCTCTCATCAGAAACCACTGGGTCTTCAATAGAGTCTACGGGATTGAACACTAACAGGAGTGATTAGAAAGAGTGGGGTGGGCCAGGCGCGGTGGCTCACGCCTTAATCCTAGCACTCTGGGAGGCCCAGGTGGGCGGATTGCTCAAGGTCAGGAGTTCGAAACCATCCTGAGCAAGAGCAAGAACAGTCTTTACCCCACTTTGGGTTGCGGGAGACCTGACAAGGCTCCTAAACACCTGGAAATCTCCCTGGTTGAGGTCAGGAAGCTCAGCACGGGAAACTGTCCAGCATTTAGCCCAAGAGGACATTGGGTCTTTTCTTTCCTGAGTTCCCCAGTTCTCAAGAACCCCCCCAACCCCCCACCCCGCCCCAGAGTTAACTGCAGATTGACACTTAAGTCAGGCGACTTTGCAGCTGACGGCCACTGCCATCATTTATTCATTTTCTCTTGCACCTTTCCAAAAGCCAGCCACAAGACACTAACACACGTATCCATTTCGTCTGCTCAGTGCTGTGAAGTAGCAAGTTAGTCCTTTCACAGAAGAGGAAATTAAAGTGACTAGACAAGGCGGGTGCGGTGGCTCACGCCTGTAATCCTAGCACTCTGGGGAGCCAAGGCAGGAGGACCACTCAAGGTCAGGGTTTGAAACTAGCTGAGCAAGAGCAGAACCCGTCTCTACTAAATAGAAAGAAATTAATTGACCAACTAAAAACTATATAGAAAAGATTAGCGGCATGGTGGCGCTGCCTGTAGTCCGCTACTCGGGACGTGAGGCGGAGGATTGCTTGAGCCAGGAGTTGGGGTGCTGTGAGCTAGGCTGACGCCACAGCACTCTAGCCTGACAGAGTGAGACTCTGTCTCAAAATAAAATAAAATGAAATAAATAAAGGACATAATTCAGCAGCATTAAGTACATTCACGATGTTGCGCATTCACACCACTTTCTAGTCTACGTTTCGTGCCCAAGTAGGAATCCGCGTGCCAACTGAGCAGTACTTGCTTCCTCGCTCTCACAGCCCAGATTTCGTCGAGGAAAAAACAGTAAAGGAACCTGACAGCGGTCACGCAGGGCCTGTGACGCCCGCAGGGCGGGCCCAGGAGGGCGCAGCAGGCCGTTCCCGGACCCGCATCTTGCGCCCGACGGCGGGCGGGCGGGCAGCGGCGCGCAAGGGGCCTGCAGCCCTCGGGCCGCGGCCTGGGGCGCCGCTCGCTGCCTTAGCCCTGCCCGCCGGCCGGCGCGCGAGGGGCCGCCGCAGACCCACGCCCGGGCGCCCGCTGCCCTCGCGGAGCCGTCTCTGGGCTCGCCGTTTTCGGGCACTTTCGGGCTGGGGTTGGCGAGGAGCCGCCGCGACCCCCGGCGCCGAGACCCCCGGCGCGCTCGATCCCCGCTCCCGCCGCAGCGCCGGGGCGCGCAGCGCGGCGCTCCGCGGTCACGGCGCGCCCCGGGAGCGCGTGCGCAGGCGGCGGGGGCGCGCCGGGCTGGCGGCCGCGGGGCGTCCCGCCGCTCCGCGCCCCGCGGTCGCTTACCCGATGTGCCTGCCCCGCAGCGCCAGGGTGTCGCGCTTGCTGTACAGCTCGCACATGGCGCGCGGGCTGCCTGCGGCCGCCGTCCTCCGCGGCCCGCGTGGGGCTCCCCGCCCTGGGCGCCCGAGGTTACCGGCGGCATCAGCCCGCCGGGCTCATCTCCCTTTTAAGTGTCGCCCTGACTTTGCCCTTGGCCAAGCCCCTCCCCTCCCTCCGCCCGGCGCCCGCCCGTCCCGCCCTGCACTGGCCGCTGCTTTCCCGACTCGGCGGGCCTTGCCTTTCCTCCTTTGCGGCCTGCGAGTCTCCTGGCCACCGTCTTTCTGGAGACTTGACTTTGCTGTGGAAATGCAGAGATAGGCGCTCCGGCACGGCAGGACCGCGGCTGCCGTGGCTCACAGGCCGGTCCCCAACCTGCCGTGCGCTCCCGCGAGCGCGCCCTAGCGACGGGTGGCCGGGCGCGGCCCGCGGTCCTCAGGGCGAGGCGAGCGCTGGCCCCTTTGCTAACTGCGGAAAGCGAGGCTGTTCCCTGACCCGGGATTCCGCGTCTGCCTGGTGGTGAACGCGGGGCTCGTCTCTGCAGGTTTCTCGACTCCCTTTAAAGTGCTCTTACGCGGATCAGGTCGGAGGTGAAATGTGTGGACAGAGAGGATGCTAACGAGCTATAACCTTAAATCACAAATTATTTTAACAGCCAGAGGCCATCTGGCGGCCCCTGCTCCCCTGGCGGGAGAGGGAAGGCTTGCTCACGGTCACGCAGCTACTCGGCCCGAGGTACGACCCGATGGCCTGTCGCGTTTGCTCTGCGGCCTGAAAGGGCGGCAGCGAAGCCCCACGCTGGCCGGCACGGGCCGCAACCCTGCGGCTGAACTTCCCCCTGGAACAAGGTTTATTAATTCGCATTCACGTGCTGCAGCAGGAGTGGCGTCGCAGCGCCCAGGAGGAGGAGGATGGGGCTCTAAGGGGAGAGAACTGCGGCGCTAGGCTCAGGAAGGGCCACGGCGCTTCGCGGACTGCCCGGGAACGCCCGTCGCGCCGTCGCCGTCTAGTTCTGTGTCGCACACACGCTGCGAGCGCACACCTGCTCTCACCTGCCTGGACCTGGCGCAGTCACAGGGGCCGGGGCGCGGGTGCGGCGCGGAGGCCGGGCGGGCCAGGGCTGCGGGGCTGCGGGCCGTGTGCCAGGGCCTGCGGGGGCAGCGGGCGCGGGCTGCCGGGCCGGTGGGGTCGGCTGCTGGGGCTGGGAGGGGGGGGGGGGGGGGGGGGGGGGGAGGCGGGCGCGGGCCTGGCGATACGCAGTGCCTGAGCTGCCGGGCGCGTCCAGGGGCTCGTGCCCCTGCGCGGCCGCGGGTGCGAAGACCAGTTGCCTGGAGCTGCGGCGCGGTACCAGGGCTCGGCCGGGGCGCCGGGCTGCGGGTCTGCAGGCTGCGGGGCCGCTGGCCACGGGGCTTGCGGGGGCGGGTCCCTGGGACCGGTGCCGGGTCTGCGGGGCCGGGCTGCGGGCTGCGGTCGCGGGGCCGGGGGACCAGGTGCGGGGCTGCGGGGCTGCGGGGGCCGGGGCTGCGGGGCGCGGAGCCAGGGGATCGGGGGAGGGTCCGAAGTAGAGAAGGGGACGAGGGACGACGAGGGCGCAGTACGGGCCGGGGCGGGCGCGGCCTGGGGCGCGGGGCGGGACTGGGGGAGGCTGGTTTGGGCGGCCTCGGAGGCGCAGGCCCGAGACGCCAAGTCGGGCCCGACGGCGCCTGCACCCACCGCCCCGGCGCGCCAGCCGTTCGCGCCCCTCGGAGGCGGGAATCGCCCAGGGGCCCCGGCTCCGCGGCGGGCGGGACCTGACGGCGAGTGGCTGCGCCCTGCGGTCCGGCGGCCTCCGGGAGGGGCGCGCTGCCGGGACGGGGGACACCCCGGGGGGTCCAAGGCGACGGTCCCCAACGCCCCGCTGGGGACCGGTGCCGGCCTGTGGCCTGTTAGGGACCGGGCCACGGAGCTCCACGCCCCTTCCCCAGCCCGCGTCCGCGGAAACACTGTCTTCCATGGAAGCGGCCCGTGGCGGGGAGAGGCCGGGCGGGCGCGGCGCTCTGCAGAAGGGCCGGGGCGGCGGGGTGTCTGGGCGGGCGGCGGGACCGGGCGGCGGGGGTTCGGACGGCGGCGGGGACGGGGTGCGGGGACACGGGGCGCGGGCTCGAGCCGGCGGCGGGGACCGGGCGGCGGGGACGGGCGCGGTTGGGCGGGACGGCGGGGGCCGGCGCGGCGGTTTCGGGCGGGCGCGGCGGGCGGCGGGGGTTCGGGGCCGGGGCGCGGGGTTCGGGGCGGGCGGCGGGCCGGGGCGGGGGGGTCGGGGAGGGGCGGCGGGGGCTCGGGGCTGGGAACGCGGGGGGCTCCGGGCGGGGCGCGGGCTCGGGGACGGGGGGCGGGGGTTCGGGGCTGGACGCGGGCCGGGCGGCGGGGGTTCGGGCCGGGCGGCGGGGACGGGCGGCGGGGTTGGGCGGCGGCGGGCGGGGGGCGGGGTCGGGCGGGGGGGGGGTGGGCGGGGCGCGGGTCGGGCTGGGACGGGCGGGGCGGGCGGCGGGGGTTCCGGGCCGGGCGGCGGCCGCGGGCGGCGGGACCGGCGGCGGGGCCGGGCGGCGGGGCCGGCGGGGACCGGGCGGCGGGCTCGGGGCCGGCGCGGGCGGGCGGCGGGGGCTCGGCCCGGGCGGCGGGGCAGGCGCGGCCGGGCGGCGGGCGGGGCGGCGGGCCGGGCGGCGGGGGCTGGGGCTCGGGCGCGGGGCCGGAGGGCGGGGTTCGGCTGGGACGGCGGGGGCTCGGGCTTGGGACGGCGGGCCGGGGCGACGGCGGGGGTTACGGGGCGGGGCGCGGGGTTTCGGCGGGCCGGGCGCTCGGGCTGACGGGCGGGGGCTCGGCCTGAAAGCGGCGGGGTTCGGGCGGGCGGCGGGGCTTGGGGCGGGGCGGGGCCCGGGCGCGGGGGCTCGGGCTCGGGCGGCGGGGGCTTCGGCCGGGCGCGGGGGTCGGGCCGGCGGCGGGGGCTGGGCGGGGCGGCGGGGCGCGGCGGGGCTGGGCTCGGGCGGGGGCCGGACGCGGGTTGGGCTGGGACGGCGGCTCGGGCCGGAGCGGCGGGGCTCCGGGACGGCGGGCCGGAGGCGGGGCTCGGGCTGGACGGCGGGCTGGGGCCGGGGCGGCGGGGGTTCGGCGGGGCGCGGGGGTTCGGGCTGGGACGGCTGGGCTCGGGCCGGAGGGCGGGGCTCGGGCGGCGGCGGGCGCGCGGGGTTCGGGCTGGACGGCGGGGCTCGGCGGAGCCGGCGGGGGCTCGGGGCGCGGGCCGGGCCGGCGGGGCTCGGGGCTGGACGGGGGCGGGGGGCTCGGCCGGGCGGCGGGGTTCGGCGGCCGGCGGGGGTCGGCGGGGCGCGGGGTTCGGGCCGGGCGCGGGTTCGGGCCGGGCGGCGGGCCGGGGCGCGGGGCGGAGGAGCACCCGCCGACTGGCGCCCTTGCCCCGCTCTCCTGCCCGGTCTCTCGTCCGCCCTCCCGCCCGGCCCCCGGCGGAGCGGACCGCGCAGCCCGGCGGGAGGAGCCGGCCCGACCCGCGCCTCGCCTGGGCCGCGGTGCGGTGGCTCCCGGTGCTCAGGGGCCCTGTGGTGTTTGGCGCTTGAAAGTTTGTTATGGCAGAAAATACAACCGAGCTGCAGTTTCCGAGTCTTAGTTTGTTTGCGGCTCCACGTGTTCCCCCGTCGCCCTGGGGCTGCGGGGCGCTGGGTTCACAGACCAAGCATTATAATGTATGAGTTTTGCAAGTTTAGCATTAAATTTTTTCGTGATTTTTAAAATCTAACATGAACCTTCCTCTTTCTAAAAAGTCTTCAGAAACATTGAATGGGTGCATAAAATGCATTACAGTGGGATAGTTGACCATCTAAATTGTTTCCAATTTTTCGTTACTGATACTGATTCAATGGTATTCTTGTATTTAAGTCTTTGCATGAATGATTATGTCCTTAAGAGAGATTCCAAGAGGTAGAATTATTGAGTTAAATGTTTACTGTTTACTTATTTAAGGCTCTTGATCTGCAGTACAAAATTGCTCTCCTAAAAGTGTGCCCTCCCAGCAGAATGCTAGTTTCCCACATCTTTGTGCACGTGATAATAACAGGAAACGCAGAAACACTAGTGATTTTGTGGATTATCCGCCTTGTGAAGAAAAGACCCGAGAAAAAAAGTACTGGAGCAATTGGCTACAGTGTTTGGGGGAAGGAGTCAGCTCTTTGTAAAATATGTTGTGTCCTGCGACCTTGCTAAAATCAGTCTCGTAGCTCTTTCGTAGATGCCATAGGATTTTCTGCGTAGATGATACTGTTTGCTCAGACTAAAGGCAGTGTGTCTCTTCCTTCCCCCCACCCCCCAAAAAGATATCCCAGACTTTACAAGTCCAAAGTAGCTTTGATCCCCACCCCCAAGCTACTGTGTTCAGTAAGCCCCCATCACCAGTTGTTTATTCACTCATTCAAAATACATCAAATGCTCACTGTATGCCAATGCATGGTTTTTAAATTTGTTTTTATTAGTTTTTTCTTTTTTAAATTTTTGATATAAAATTTTATACTTTTCATTTTAGTTTTTTTCTTTTGGCTGCAAAATTCATGTTCTATCCAGTTAATGTTTTAGTTGCCAGACATACAACAGTGGATGAGACTGAACAGTCCCCGTCCCTAGTGGCTCCTGCTTTAGGTCTGCCCTGTCCAGGACATTGCCACTGTTACATATTTCTTCTCTTTGTATGAGCCTCAAGGAAGTAGGGCTTTGAATACAGAGCAATGTGGATGCCCAAGTTTCTTTCTATCCTTCAGGTGGGAGGGTTGTGGGAGATTAGCAGCCTCCACTTGAGGGAGTTGCAGAAGAATGACCTCAGAATTTGAGTTAGGGTGTTCATGATGAGAGAAAATTCAGCATAAAAGGAAGGTAAATACTCTTGCATTAATGCCACTTACATTCCATTAGAACAGGCTGGACTGGCACCCTAAGTGTGGACCTTTGCATCATGACCACGAGTTGGACCAAGTGCATCATCACCATCTGGGAGCTTGTCAAAAATATAAGTTCTCAAGTTCCACTCAAGATCTACTGAGTCAGAGACTCAGGGAGTGGAGCTGAGCAGCCTGTTGCTCAAGCTCTCCAGGTGATTCTGATTAATGCTGAAGGTTGAGGACTTCCAGATTGTATTCAGCTTCCTAACATGGAGGGACAATGAAAAGCCAATAAGCACAAATTGAAATAAAGAAGATTTAGAAGGTGAACATTTGATGTTTAAATGAAGGACAATACTATGCATACTACACAAAGGTGCCAATAAGCCCCACAGCAAAATTACAGTCCTCAGCTTCACTGGGTACCGTAGTTGTCACGTGCTTCCTGCTTTTTGTTCTTGTCCTCCACAGGGGTATTTGAGGCCCTCTCTACTCTTTAAACTTAATCTTCTTTGACCACTCATTAGGTGATGTTACATCTCCCATCAGGTAGGTGGTATTACATGCTACCTTATATAGAACATGTTCTTAATTTAGACTTGAAAAAGGTCATAACATCTTTTCCCTTACCTAGCATGCTACAAATGAGCTGTGCAGAGGGTTTTACCCATTATCCACATTAATAAAAATCTCTAAGTCCCAGTGGGTTTGTTGTTGCAACTTTTGTTATTCCTTTATTTATTTAAAAATATTTATTGAGAACCTGCTAAGGGTTGGGTTCATGCTTGGTTTGGGATCTAGTGACGGAGACTGACAAACACGCAGTTCTTAATCATCTGATACGTGTTTTAGCAGTGACAAGTCCAAGAAATCATCGCAGTAGAGAAGGACAGCTCGACTTGGCAAAGGGGAGTTTAGTAAGTTGACGGCATGTGTTGAGTCTTGGAAGAGCAAGTATTCCTCAGTTGGATGGTGGGGATGGGAATGGAGATTATTTCAGGCCTAGGGAGCAGCTAAAGGGATCCTAAATACTTTACCACGGGAAGACCATTCGGTGAGGGTTGCTGACCAGCAAGACCTGCTGTTATAAAGCCAGGCACAGTTGGATAACAATAGGCTTTGTATTCTTCACCAAGGTATCAGCATGGTGATGGGAGACTGAAGAGTTTAACAAGATTAAATTTCCTTGCAAAACTGTTTTTAGTGAAGTTGGTTTCGCACATGTGCTTGGCTTACATTGGGAAACACTATCAAAACCTGCTGTTTTATTATGGGGGGGTCCTCTATAAGAAATCTCGCATGAAAAAAATCTTTTCAATTAGATTTGATTCTTTTGAGGAACTGGTGTGTTTTCACCTCATGGATGATGTAAATGTGTTACTGATTTATTTCCCTTTTGGCTATGGACACCAGGAAGCTGAGAGCCACACTGGTTGTTCAATTTAATGATATTATAGAATTCTGTGTCTCTTTTCATTATAACTTTCTTTGTAGCCTTGAACTATGTTTATATATGGTTTTCCTGGTTCTTATTTTTAAACTTATTATATATTTTAAGTTCTTTATAAATACTTTCAAATTTGTCTCAAATCCTATGTGAAATGGAAGTTTCAACTTGTTTGCCTGGATGGCAGTTGAGGAAGGTGGCACCATCCGCTATGGTATGGGAGAGACCAGGGGAAAGGTGACGAAACCAAACATCTGTGGGACAGCCAGGTGGACATGCCTATGTTAGTAGTCAGTCTAGAAGCCAGAAGGACGTCTGTGATGAAGAGAGAAACTTGGTGTTGGTGGAAATGGCCGAGCCCTCCTGGAGAGAGAGAATGCGTGGCAGAGAAGAGCAAAAGCAAGAGAGAGGGCAAAAGTCAGAGCCCCAGGATCATCATTTAGCGGTCGGAGGAGCAAGAGCTGGCAGAGGAGCTTGAGAAAGAAAACAGGCCACAGTTTTCATGAACATCAATAAAGCTTTATAACAACACAATTCATTATCATTGTTTGGATTAATACTGTAATAATTACACACTTTTTACATTATGAAAATAAGTCATAAATAGTGTAAAAATAATTTTGAAGATCAACTTCTCACAAACTAGGAACCCTGAAAACAAGTTTAAAAAGCAAATAAAACAAATTGGAAACTGAACAAAATGCAATTATCTCCAAATTGCAAATCAAAAAACCTCATGCATCTTTTGATTCAGTAATGTCAGCTGGAGAAATTACAATGAAATTGAAATCAGAAATCTAACAGACAGAATTCAATCTTTCAATTATTTACACTGCTGAGATAAACAGGTTTGTGCCATATTTACAGTGGTAAGACACAACACATCTTAGTATTCTAAGAATACCCAAGTACATGAGACTGGCCCACAAACATTTAAAAAAATATGCAGTGTAATAATGCTTGCCAATTTTTTTTTTGCATTTTCACTTATTTTATATTTATGTGAGTTTTTTGGCAATATAAAAATAGCTGCACATAAAGATGAACTTTAAAATGTAAAAAATACAAATAAAAATATATTTTCTAAAGAAAAATCAGATACATACATCTTTTTAAAATGTTATAAAGTTGAATGAAACATTTACAACAGCATAAAGAATATTCACATAAATGCCAACAATGTGTAAGACATTCTTTTGTGAATCCACTTCATTGTTTCTGAGATATGTGAGAGTATCAACTGTATTTTGAGAAATGTTGATACTTTCTTTGTTAAATTGTACATAAATCACAAATAACAGTTTTGTTTGAAAAATCTTCCTATTCCCAAAAGGACAGTTCTGTCAATAACAGGTATAGGCAATTTTATGCATTTAAATATTTTTTAAATCAAAAAGCCATTAAAATGTTTATTAATATTGGAATAGCAAAACCAAAATCCACTAAAAATTTAAGTTAAAGGAGTGTCTCCACTGTGACATATAACAAATCTAGCCCACATAAAAATATTTCAAGAAAAATGGGAAGGATTAGGGACTGAGGGTGCTTATATTCTAAAACAATTTAGCAGAATCATAACTGGTCAAGCTTGTTAATTCCACTAGAGAAGTATGACTGAAACAGCCAGAGTCACATGGGATTGTTCTTACGATTTTTTTGAAAGATAAGGTTCCTATGGACTTGACTTTGTAGAGATAGCAGGGGTTTTTGTGTGTGCGTGTGTGTGTGTGGAAATTAGAAAGTCCTATTTTTAGTAATGTGAAACAGTAATATAAGTTTACTATCAAGAATAAGGAAAAGCAAGGTTTCAAAAATCAGCATCTGTATGTCTCTTACGATCACTTATAAGACGATGTTAAAACACCATCACACAAGTAGAGCCCAATTCTGGGTAAGACAATATGTAGTGGGGAATAAAAGGATAACAAATGAATAACTTTTCATGCTTCAATAGTAATATTAAAAAAACCTTGGAAATTAAACAAATTTCCTATGTGATAAAAAATATAAGATACCAAAGACAATTTTTTCATAGGTACAGATATGCTGATTTGACCATTTTCTTAAACTAGATATATATTATATATAATATTTATTATAATATATATATATTATACTAGCAGATCTATATATATAGACTCATATTATTGGACAATATTGTTAGACAAAGGACATGTAGTATAAACTACTTGATGTGTATGTTCATGCTGTACCATTAGAACATCATATGCACAGACTATAAGTTCAAAAACAAGAACTTTCTTCTGGTAGAAATTAAAGATACTCTAATGTCTTTTATAAAATCACACGGGAAAGAAAAATCCTCCAAGATTGCTTTTGATAATGAGTAGTGAAAACTAAAAAAAACAATCAAGCGTATTTGTGTGCCAGGTCCTCTATGTGGTATATGCAGACTTCTCTAACACTGGTTTTGTCCTGCTAAATTAAATCATATAAGCTAAAAAAATGAGTGAATGAAAAAGATGAATGAATGAAAGTTGAGAAACGCATGTGATGTATGAAATGAATATGAAACAAAAGGTTCCACAATCCCAGTAAACACACAACGTCTACAGGTACGTTGTTTTGTTTTACATTAAGAAAGGCTAGTCATTGAATCACAATTACAGCAAATTCATGAACTTTAAAAATAAAATCACACACTACCGATTTAGGAATGCTATTAAATAGAGAAATGAAATTATCCATAGTAGTTGCATTGTCCATCATAAAAAAGAAAAGAAATACATTAGCACCAACCAACATGAATGGAAAACCATTTTAAATCTAAAACACAAAAATAATTTGGCATCTTTCAGAAATGTTTTATCAGAAATACCACCTGACCTTGCCTTATTTCCAATGTATCTTTTATATATTTTTTGCAACCCTCTCTCTATCCAATAGTATAAATTAAAAGAAAGAAGTCTTTAAGTAAAAAATGTTATCTACCAACATATATCAACAAACATAATTTGATAGTTCATTTAATAATTATTTGAGGTTTCTCTATATTGATGACAAAATAGGTGCTTGAAAATATTTTAGTTTAGGATTATCCATGAAGTCAAGACTTAGCAATTCCACTGAACAAAGAGGACTATCATGCCTTTGTTTTTCCTAAGAAATAAATGTAATGGAAATTTATAACTTCCTTTAATCATAAAATAAATCAGTGTTGTCAAATCAGTTATAGAGCAAAACCCAATGCACACACAAGACAGAACAGTATTTAAAGGGCGGTGTTCAAAAAAAATTTTTTTATACATGAAATGATTCTCCTTCAATGTTGAGGTATTCTCTTTTGAAGCTGTGCAAGTTTTAAATAGTGACCCATCTCAATACCTCTTTCTACTAGAGTAGCAGAAAGAAAGAAAGGAAGAAATATAGCCACCGGACTTTTCCCAAGTTTGTTTTCTCTAGTGTGTTTTTCTGAAGAGAATGTAGTTTCACTCCCTTCATTTCATTTTTACAAATCACTTAAGACAAATTCTTTCAGACATTGAGCAATACCTTATCCTAACATCATGCCATGTAAGAAATTGTTAGAAAATGCCCTCCATTATTTTAAAAATGCTAAATTGGCTTAGAGGTGTGGAATGTTACTAGAAATGTTACCGATTAGACTGATCTAATAGTTTAAACATCTATCTAACCTGGAAAACTCAACAGAATAAAAAAGGAAGATGCCATTTTGTATGAACGATCCTTCGGTTACATAATATGAAAGAGATCATGAGGATCTTAGGATCCTTGTCTAACAATTATAGCTTCACTACTATCACCATAAGCCAATGATGAGCTCAGTTCCCCTCTGGTGGTGAAAACTTATGCATGAAACTAGAAATCTTCCCACAAAATGGCACTGAGTCAGGACAGAAATGAAATTCTCTGATGTGCTGAAAAGGTAACTGCTCCTCATTGACAATGTTTCTCCAAATGGGATCCTTCCACTAAGAATAAGCCATTTCAAAACATGCTACCAACTCTTCACTGTGCAAAGAAATGCTCAGTCTAACACAGGAGACTTCTGCACAAGTAGATGGAAAAATACTCTCTTTATGGCAACTATATTTCACAGCTTTCTGAAATCTCCAGATTTGGTCTATGGTTAAAGGATAAGACAAACATGTAAAAAGTAAAAAAGAAAAGCAAGAAAGAAATCTAAATATAGACAAAACTTAGAACCATAAGGAATAGAGATTAGTTAATACTATCAAATGTGACAAAATCTTTGCTTTATATTAACTGATAATCTCTATGTATGTTACATTCATCATGTAAAACAGTCAAAAAGTACTGAAAAAAATGCTTAACTTTCATGCTTTACAATGATAAAACTGAAAATAGAGATTCTTTTATGTTCTCTTCAATTATCCAAAATGAGAGAAATCAGGAAAAGTTCATTTTGACTGTTGGAGCCAAATTAGTATGATTTGAAGACTTAAAAAAAATTGTTCAAAACAGATGTGACAAAACCTGAAAGAAATATTTTCTAAATATTTCTGGGGCAAAAAAAGAAGGATTAAAATGAATGAAAATATCTTTCTGTTTCTAGAACTTTGTAGAAAATGTTTGCTGTGGGTTGGATCTCAGAAGGAAGGAAGCTCTTCCACCATCTTTGGCAGACACGGCACAGTGGCTCCCTGACACCCTCGGGAGAGGTTACTCTGGCGACCCCTTCTCAGCATGTTGTTTCTTCAGCAGCCTGAGCTTGGGTGGGATACACAGACCCTTTTCCCTCAGCACAGGGGTATTTCAAGAACCTCCATTCCGAAAGAAGTGCTGTATGCCTCTGTCCTTTTCCAAAAGCACCCATATAAACACTTGCTGGAATTTGGTTTATTCTTAAAAAATGTCTGCAGTTCTGGGTGTTTGCATTTGAAAACCTCTTTCCTACTTGGTCACACGAGAGACAGTGCCGGATGCCGAGCCAGTCCTCTTCCTGTGTCTTCACTGCCCAGGGCAGCCCAAGGAAAACTGGCGGCAGCAACAGGCGCCCTTGGTATTTCAACCACGGTGGCCGCGTGAGCCCGCAATACGGAAGCCGTAGATCTGCAATCGGGACTGCAACTCCCTCAAAATACAAGACAAGCTGTGGGTGTGCTCTCCACCACCTTATCTCTTTTTGGCAATAAGCCACGGTGTAACCCCCTTGAGATGACAAAAGGAATAAAAGTTTAGATGCAATCAAAGGCCCCATGATCAGCATGCTAGCATCTGCAGTTGCGTGGTAAGCAGGGTTGGCACACGGTCATGCTTTTTTAGTCAGTTTCAATGGGCAGCGTGGGCACGAATCAGTGCTGATAGGGAAGGTGAATGAGAACGGGACAATAAACGCTAAAGTTGGTCAGTATGGTACATTTTCATAGCTTCGAGTCCATATTTGGTCACAATTTCATGTAAACTATTTCATGGCACTTTTTGTCCATGCAATTAACAAGCCCAAAGTAAGAAAATAGCAAGTATAATCATTCTCCATCACTGATTTGTCCGCATAAATACATGTCTTCACTTAGGGTCAGGAGACACTGCGCTGTGTCTCTGCAGGCTTCTCGCTGGTCTCACGGATGTGAGTGGGAACATGGACATTTGTGCTACGGCCAACAGGAAGAAGCAGCCCTATGTAAACATATCTCAGACTTGTACAATCTGCAATTCAGTTTTCAACTATAAATATAAAAAGTGGACCATTATATATACAACTTCATGCTTGGAAGGTTAGATTCATCACTGCAGGAAAACAGACAACAAAAAAGACAAATACATGGAATTAGTAGTTTTAGATAAAAATTTTAAATTAACATTTATTTTAAGAAGACTGGTAGAACCTTGACTACAGTCTCTTGCCAAAGAGCCAATTATCTGACATATGCCCTTTGTATGACTTTTTATTATTTTCTTTTTCTTTTTCTTTTTTTTGAGACAGAGTCTTGCTTTGTTGCCCGGGCTAGAGTGAGTGCCATGGCATCAGCCTAGCTCACAGCAACCTCCAATTCCTGGGCTCAAGCAATCCTGCTGCCTCAGCCTTCTGAGTAGCTGGGACTACAGGCGTGCGCCACCATGCCCGGCTAATTTTTTCATATTTTTAGCTGGCCAATTAATTTCTTTCTATTTATAGTAGAGACGGGGTCTCACTCTTGCTCAGGCTGGTATCGAACTCCTGACCTTGAGCAATCCTCCCGCCTCGGCCTCCCAGAGTGCTAGGATTACAGGCGTGAGCCACCGCGCCTGGCCTCCTTTGTATGACTTTTCTAAATTCCAGGATGTCACGACAATTTCCATCCTAGCTTCAACCCACATTTTTCCTTTGCCACTGAGAATTTTGGGGGTAAGTCTTTGTCTTAGTAGCTGTTCTGGGAAAGCAGAAAATTAGGGTTTTACCACCGACGTGCCATAATCAAAGTACATTTTGTGATGTGCATGATCCTCTCCAAGCATTACGACACGGCTGTGGGAAAGGCTGGCGGTTCTGCCCTCGGTGGCGTCCCCTTCACTGACACCTGACGGCAGCGCTCTGTGCTCCGTGGGCTCTCAGGCCCTCTGCTGGCCGGCCTGCCCTGCGGCGAACACTGGGCCAGGTAGACCGCCTGCCCTGGGCGCCACGCTGGATCAGGTGCCAGCGTGACCCCAGGCCCCACACACCTCTGGTTCCTCATTTTCAGCAGCCGTAATTGTTAAGGTTTTCGCAGAACTAAAGTCAAGTCTGAGTGGACTGAGGAACAGAGGTCTTTGAGGCATAAGTTTACAGAGCAGATTCTAGAGACTTCCTCGATATTTACTCAAGCATCAGTGAGCAAAGTAGAATGTACAGAGCAGGAGAGCGATAGAGGTTTCTTCATCCAGCCTCACCAATCGTGACTAATCCAGAGTCATCTGTCAGTTCATTAATTAACAACATTTGTTTTTCTCTATTCAAGAAAAACAGATGCTGTCCTAGGTGTGTCTAGTTCACTTGGTGTTCATGCACATCATGCTAATGCCAAAAAATGTTCCTATAGGGTGCATTCCTCTCTCTAACCTCTTCCTCATCCCAAATTTTAAATCTGATTCAGTTTTGTGTGTCATGACCAATATTTTTATATAATCTTTTTTTTTCTCTGATTTTAAAGGTGCGACATTATTCAGGGCAAGGCTATAGATATTTTTCCTATTAAATAGTTTCTTACCTCTGGATGAGGATGGATGATGAGTTTCCATATACCCTGTAAGTATTTTCTTAACAATAGATTCTGCCATTTATTCACTATACCAGTTACACTGTGAACTGGTACACCATTGCACTTGAGATGTAGTTCGACAACACATTGTGTGTTGGTTAATTTAGAAAACTGAACTATATCTAGAAACAAAAGTAATTTAAACAAAGATCAAATAGCTTTTCATCAAAAAATTTTTATGGGGAGTAGCATGATCAAGAGGACTTGTTAATTAATCACACGATTCACACTGCTGCCTCGATCTGAATTTTAAGTCAAACATTTGCTACTGCGCTCTGCAGCCTAATAAACACCACATCCTTTAAAAGTGTGGTCCACATAAAACAGGACAATCCATTGGCCTTACTTTCAAAATATAATTTAAAAATAATTTGACTTGACTATTTAAGATAGCTATGTAAGTACTCTGAGAACATTTCATTTTTCTAGTTGTTTCTTTGTTGTTATGGGGGGTAGGGGAGAGAGGCTGGCCAGAATGCTTTGCAATTCTGTGTGTTGGGGGTGGAGTAAGCAATACTGAAGTTTTATCGATTTATTCCTTTTTTTATATATTTTTAAATTTCATTTATTTTTATTTTTAAATTATTTTTTTAGCCACTGGAAGCACCTAGATGAGTTATTCCTTACATAAGAAAATGTTATATTCATGAGATCCATAATCTTTTGTAGCATATAGTATCTATTCAGTGGAAAAAGGAATATTTCAAAGGGAATTTTCTGATTTTCTAATGCCATTCTTATTACTACCAGGTTGGGCCATTTCAAGAACCTAAAAGATGATGAATTCTTTGCTTGTTGCCATTATTATTATGCCTTTAAAAAAAAGGCCACGATTCAGAGGTGGCCAAAATGATTATGAACCCAAGTTCTAAGTGGTGTCAGAGGCTGGATAAAGTAAGCCTCTGCACCTCCCTCTCGGTGACAGTGCTAATGATTGGATTAAGGAACCATTATGCGATCAGATTACAGGGCAAAGGTTAGAGAGGAAATGGTAATCCCAGCTCAGGATGGCATTAGGGATTGTTTCTCAGGCGAGGAAGAATGTGATGATGGCTGTGTCTTCCTGAGACCCACCTGCCCCCACATGTGGTTGAGCTCATATCTGACGGGCTGAAAGTGGAGCATGGGAGGCTGCTAAATAAATGATGCTACCGAGAGAGAAAGTTTTCTTTCCCTGGCCTGATGTTCCTTCTCTGTCCCTCCAAGTTCTGTTACGTGCCATCTCTGTGCTCTTGGAAGACCCTCACGCCTCTGAATTTCAGAGCCTCATCTGCATCACTGACGCTGATAAGACCTTACAGGGCTATTGTGTTGCTTTAAATGACGCGACCTCCCCCATACGAAAGGGCTTATCACACAGCCTTGTTTACAGAAGGTTCTTATAAAGGACAGATGCCTTCCCTTATGAAAACATACACAGTGACTATGGGTGGCCATTAAAAAAGACCAGAATAAACTGATATCATAAAGGATATCAACGTAATCAGGTTCTCCTAGATGAATCAAGACATCACTGAAGAAAATTATGCTTATATTTTCTGCTTTCTCAGTTTTGTGACTAACATTGACAGGGTTCTACCAGGTGTTTGCATGTTTGCCTAAGGAATTGAGTATCAATAGAAAAATAATCAACAATTAAGTTGCAAGACTAGTTTTAAACAGTAGGAAGACAAAGAGTTGATTGAGAGACAAGCAAAACATTATCAAGATGCAGGGCCCCTTTCCACTCCAAAGGAAAGCTCAGATGGGAAGGTTCCAGACTGCAGTGTTTCCTGAGAATTGTTTTCACTCATCAGCTCAGGACAAACCAGCAACAGATGCATTGATTGAAATGCATATTCTGGAGATGGGATATTTTGCTTTTTAATACCCAAACAACCATCAGGAATGTCAAATTTAAAAGGTCTGTTCTGAATGGAAAAGTCTAGGCCAGGAACAGAGAAAGGGAGGGGGCTTCTTTCTAGAAATAATTCTGTAAGCCTACCTTTTGCCAACAGCCAGGCATGGGTAATCCATCTGGTCCCTGTTTTAAAGAGAAGGGGAAAAAAAATTCCTCAGGCTCCACAAGAGTGATAAAATTTCATAATTCACATGCTCAGAGGCTTATAAAATAAGTTTCTACCCATGAGGTAGCTTCAGTCATGGGCATCTTTTACTAATTAGCAACTCCCAATATATTACTCACTGTTAGTTAAATGGAGAAAATTCAAATGTTTTCCAGAGTGAGTACATGTTTGGAAAATACATGAAGTATAGAAAAAGCTATACCTAATTTTGTAAAGGCAACTTACAAAGCATACTGGTCTACTCATAGCTACACTGGTCTACTCAAAGCATGCTGGTCTACTCATAGCTATATTACCTATGTTTAGGTAATATATCTGTACTATATTTAATTTATTATACTATAATAATACTATATGAAATCACCACATTAACTAAATCACTATTTTAAATTCAGCATTCTCTTGAATTTACTTTCATGTCATTAAAACACATTTCACAATTCTCTTTATTAAATAAACCAGAATAACGTCTCTTTCTGGTCACTATGGACTATGGCCAAATGCATGATAATGATGAATAATCAGTTTTAAATCATTTCTATCTGAAGTTTATAGCTCTTCACATGGCAATATTTTTCACTTTTCTACATTGAAAGTAACCATAGTATCACATACTCACTTAATTGAATTAAAAGATTAGTAGCTTATTTATACTTTTATAGTAAAATGTCATTCATAGCAGTCATTACTTTTTCTGTTTAAATTCTTCAGAAGCTAGTTAACGCATTCTGAATAAAATAAGGGGTTCCTAAGTGTTGCAAAATATATTTTAATTGAAAGTATCAATATAAGCATTCTTCAGATACAAATGATATAAACAAGGCAGGAAGAGTTTGTATATTATGAAAGCATGCTTGTATTTTCCCCCAACAAAATGATTATAAAACATGATTGGACATTAATACCAAGCAAACAAAATAAAGACTGGGCACTTCATATTGAGATTTCTCACTATAATTATTGACTGAATAAATTTTTTTCTATAAATACAATCTCTTAAAAGACTTGAGAAATATAAATTTATCTTTTAAGAAGCATGCTTATAACTAAAGAATAATATAAGAACATGCAGACCAAGTATAACCATCGATACAACCATAAAATTTTTCCTTTATACCTCAGAAATTAAGAATATACTTTTCAAATGTAAAAAGAAAAAAAAACATTTTGAAGTATCCTTGTAAAATATTTTGGAAAAAACTGGTAATGCCAGATTGGTACGAGGAGAAGGATCAACCAGTAGAATTTTAGATTTTAGTATAAGGAGGATCTGGAGTTCATGCCAATGGAGAAAGGGAGTTCTGTTTACTTTAGGAAAGTGAGTTTCAAAAGGAGAGACCATTAAATCGAAAAGGTTATGTGACAAAGAAGAGGGTTTGGGCTGCAGACTATTATCATCTTTCAAAGCTCAGAGAAGTCTGGTCTTCTTCCCTTTGGTCTCTTAAGAGCATTCCCTTGAATTGATTAACTCTTGACCACAGAACTTAATTCTGGAAGTTTGGCTTTATTTACAGCCTGAGATAAAATTTAGTGGAAGAGGCAAAACTATATTTCTTTTAGAGAAAAAGAAGAAAAAAGTTAAACTAAGGGGTAAAACCAAAAGTTATGAACTAGCAGTGCCTTTGAATCAAATATTTTTCTATTGGCCGCGTGCGGCGGCTCACACCTGTAATCCTAGCACTCTGGGAGGCCGAGGTGTGGGTGGAACGCTCAAGGTCAGGAGTTTGAAACCAGTCTGAGCAACAGTGAGACCCTATCTCTACTAAAAATAGAAAGAAATTAATTGGCCAACTAAAAATATATAGAAAAAATTAGGCAGGCAGTGGCGTAAGCCTGTAGTTCCATCTACTCGGGAGGCTGAGGCAGGAGGATCGCCTGAGCCCAGGAGTTTGAGGTTGCTGTGAGCGAAACTGACACCACAGCACTCTAGCCCGGGCAACAGAGTGAGACTCTGTCTCAAAAAAACAAAAAAATATTTTTGCATCACTTTAAGGCAATCTTTGAATATTTATTGAGTCAATTAATGTTGCAAAGAACACGGAAACGGTGGTCATGTCAGTGGGGAGGACACGTCGGGGGCGGTTCGTGCGAGGCAGGGACGGACGCATGCTCGCTCTCCCTCTGCAAGAGGCGGAGGCCGCTCATGCACATGCCGCAGTGCTTGTCGCGGACAGCTGGCCGCAGCAAGCAGCACCGTGCACGACAGGGACGAGTGGCCATAGCACAGGAACGGCATGCAGGGCGGTAGGAAAGAGAAATACTGTACCAATTGGCAAGGGGCATCCAGCCCATCCAGGCCAGGCTGGCCTGGCTCCCCTTTTTCCCCCTTAACGCCACGGAATCCCTGTTTGTAAAGATTAACTCATAACGTTACTAACACAAGAAATCACTTAGGCACACATTCTGCTAACGAAAGGACCACAATAATAAAAGGACGGGAGAGGAGCAACTCTGAAGGGAAAAGTAACATCCAGCGGGGTTGGACAAATCAAGCAGGGCTAGGCATGTTCCTATGATGGGGCTTGTCTGAAACGGTGGCCTTCTCTTTGGCGGGGCAGGGAACCGTGCTGGCTCCTCTTGAGCCCCACATCCAGGTGCCAGCTGACACCTGCGTGTCAGGAGCCCGGGCAGAGCGAGCGGCCAGAGACAAGACGCTCGACACGCCAGGAGGACCTGGGATAGACATGTCCGGTGTGTGAAAGTCTGTGTTAAGTGAGTCTGCTGTTACGGCCCTCCAGCTTGCTCTTCTCCCACCTCGCCCTCACACGTGGCACCCAGGCGCGCAGACATACCAACGGGCAGGGCGCATCCAATCCCGGAGCACCCTGTTCTCCTTTCTCCCCTTTAGGCCCCTTTTTGCCTTTCTTTCCCTTTTCCCCCTGTGGACACAAGGGTTTAAATAAAAGACAGTTTTTATTGGGGGGATGGATAATGGTAATTCAAAAGATGGTTTAGCTAAGAAAATTCTGGAAGGGCATTTACCACTGTTTTCTGATGTAGGTAAGGCATGATCTTATACAAAATAACTTATACGTCCAGAGTGACAATGGATTCTGGGCATCGGCATATGGGATGTTATACAGGACACTCAGCAAGATGGAAGAAGGGAACTTGAAAGCCGACACATCAGGACGGAGACCCGTGCTGACATCGGTACTATGTCATGGTCGTCCTGAATCAGGTTCTTGGGCCACAGAGCGGGGAGGGTGATGGATACCAACTGTACCAAAGCCGGCCAGCGGCAGGCCAAGTTCAGGGGAATAATGGATACTTCACCCAATTTTCAATACCTGTCAACTGCTTTTTTTCTAATCTTGTAACAGATGAAGGCTACCTTGAACCAGAGGAAAAGGAAAGATATTAACAGCTTCGGTTTCTTTGAAATTTATCCAATTTTATGGTATTATGTTTTGTAGCTCTCATTAAAACGTATTCATTGTATTAAAATATGCTTCTGTTTCTTTAGTTTCTCATTTAAAGAAACGAAAACCAAATACTTATTAAGTCAAGTAAACAAAAATTGAAAGTGCTAATACTTCACAGTAATGCCAACTGGAGGAACGGACATATTTATAAACCTAGAGATCTTCTATAATTCACTCTTGTATTGATCTCATGCCAGGTATTTACAATGGTAAATGAGTTTCCAGCTTTGCTCACAATAAAACAAAAGCCAAAAAAAAAAAAAATCTGTTCAAGAAAGGAAAAGCAGTTTGGACTCAGTAAAAAATGAGGTAGGCAAGATAATTACATAGTGGGAATGTAGCTGTGGAAATTAGTATTTAGGAACCAAGGTAAAGGTTGTAGGAAATCTGCATGGATCACAGGGATGGAGGAATTAAGGAAAGGAGGCAAAAGGAGGAGAAGGGAGCAATGCATCTCAGCTGTTTTACATTAACATAGATATCTCTGCATATTTATAGACAGGGAGTTGGTGCAGCACAGAATACAAAATACTATACCATACACATTTAAATCAGTGTGTTCATTCTGCAAACAGGATGGGAGTTACTATACAACTGAATAATCTCTGAAGCAAAGTGACATGAATATTCAAGATGAAAATACATATATATAACAGGAACATATGAGATGTGCATTCAAATTAATACGTTCATTCTGACAGCGTGAGCAAAAGTTTCTCATTTAAGTCCTGTGTGCCAAAAAGATTGCATCAGAAGGTTCAGAATCAAAAACACTTGGGTTTCTTGAATACCAGGCCAATGGAGAAATTCTGTGTGGTTTAGCTGATCATGATCAAAGAGGAGGACCCAAGAAGCCAGGGTGAAACTAGGGCAGGTGTGAGCGGAAGTTAGCTCGGGCAGCGTGGGAGTGAGCTGCTCGCTCATTCAAGATGAATCGGCACCTTTCTTAGCAAACAACTTCCATGACCTGGCATAAAATTGATTTAAACTTGTTTGGGTGAGCTCTTTGCTCCCAGAAGGCAGTGGATTCTTCTTCACATTGTTTTATCTGAGACCAAGTGTGTTGGAATTCAATTAATTATTTTATTGGTAAATCAACTCAGATTAACCACTCAATAGAAAAATGTCATATGGATGTTAGTTACTAGGCCAGGCTATGGGAATGATTTCTCAGTAATATTTTAGTGAACCTCAAGCTTTGTGGAAAAGAGATACCCTGTACAAAGAAAAATGTCCCAATATTATTAATCAACATTATTTTGTAACCCATGGTCATTCCCCACGAAACACAAAACCATCTGTCATTGTGTAAGTATGTGAGGGATCTTGCTAATTTTATTTCCATTGTCAAAGAATTATATAGCAACAGAGTGAGACCCTGTCCTCCCTTCCCCCCAAAAAGAATTATATACATGTTACAAGTGTTCACAGGTAGAATCTAATTTTTCTAAATATAAAACTTCTAATCATGAAATTTGAATATGAAAATATCTTTGTATGGGTGATTAACATTATTCTGAGGATCAAGTTTGTAGCTTTATGCTTTCATAAGCTATAATACTGGTGATTTCTTCCTTGTTTAAAAGAGATGAGTATCCTCATAATAGTGACATACTTTTGAATGAATAAAATTTTAGATTCATATTACCCATTGGGTAAATATAAAATACCAATGATCTCTAAAACATACTCACCTTGGGCTGAAATCTTACATGCACAATATATCTCAAAACACGCATATTTTATAGTCAGAATTTATAACTGGGAGTAAAAGAGCTTTTTATGCTTCTCTTTCCCCTGTAAAATGGGGAAAATAACAGCCCCAACTTTAGGGGGTTGTTATGAAGATTAAAAGACTTGTTACATGTAAAACTCTTGGGAAAGCACACAAGCGCTCCGTGAACATGAGGACGCTAATGCGCTGGTGCGTTTGGATGACCACTGACGCGGCTCTCTTACCAGCAGGGGGCTAAGTAACATTTAGGTCCCAAAACAAACACAGCAGTCTTAATATTGTTCTTTTTTTTTCTTTTTTGACAACTCTCATTTGGCCTTCCTTTTCAAAAACAGCTATGAACTTCCCTATTCAATAGAATTCAAAGAGTTTTAAATTTTTAAGTAGAGCAGGAACATGAATTCATCTAAGAAATATAATGGGTTTAAATTTGAGCAGAAAAAGTGTAATTTTAGCTACTTTAAGATTTTCACTATTCCGTTGAGGTGCTGAGTTTTTGTTGGTGTCTTTTGCTGTGTCCAACGTAAAAAATTCTTAGATCTAGGATTGGGTCAAAGACTGAAATAAAGCACAGAGAAAGGGAAAGAGAAAAAGGGAAAAGAATGAAGGAGAGGAAAGGAAAAAATGGTTTTTAAATTTCTTGATCCAAACGTTTCTTTCAGTCATAAAACCATCTTGCCTGACATTGGCTCCTGAAGACCCAGGAGCGGAAAGTCCTGAGACAGAACTTCAGCACCAACCTCATGAAACACACCCATCCCTTCATTAAAAACCCTACAGCTGTCAGCCCTGAATCTGAAAGTGGCGAGTCCTGGTCCTTGCATAACGGACTTCCTGTGGCTTATCCACGCTGCTCTCCTCCACGTGCAGATCAAAAATGGCAAAGCACATATTTCTCTCTGCTGGGAAGTGGTGGGGATAAACGAGAGGCTGGCTTTACAGGCTAGATGAGCTCTGCCAAAATGCCACTGCAGATTTGTGCTAGCTAATAGTGCTTAAAACACTTTTTCTCAAAATCCTTTATTTTTTTAATAAATTGGTGTCAGGTAGTTGAAAAATTGTAGCTTGAATATCAAAAGAATATAGTATTTTTGAGACAGGGTCTCCCTCTGTTGCAGTAGTGTGATCACAGCTCACTGTAACCTCGAATTCCACGCTCAACTGATCCTCCTGCCTCCGCCTCCGGAGTAGCTGGGATTACAGGTGTGTGCCACCATGCCCACCTAATTTTTAAATATTTTTGCAGAGATGGGGTCTTGCTATGTTGCCCAGGCTGGTCTCCAACTCCTGGCCTCAAGCGATCCTTCTGCCTCAGTCTCCCAAATTGCTGGAATTACAGGCATGAGCCACCGTGCCCAGCCTGAGATTATATAATTTTTTCTTCTATGCTAGACAGTGCCCTTATTTCTGTGGAGTAGCCTTCTTCATTCCTCTTTAAAGGCCCAATTGCTTAGCTCAGGCACCAGGGTGTTTTTGGCACACAGCACAGAGAAAGATCAGGAGGCACACAGACTGAACGGCAGGCAGACAGCACAGGAAGTGTCAAACAAGGTACATGCTACAGTGGAGAGGTCACCTTTTCTCCCTTTTCTCCAAGATCACCCTTCTCACCCCGTGGACCAGGGAAGCCCTGTAGGATAAAAAGCAAACCAAAAAGATCTATTGGTGTAACTGTGTCAAAATCATATTGAAAAAATTATTAAGATTTCAAGTTTCTGAACTCAAATCTAATAAAAAATGGCATGCCAAACAATCTTAAAATTTAGGTGAAGTAGTACTTAGAAATAATAGTTTTCTAATGTCTCAAGATCCATACACAACAAGTGTCTTGCTGTTTCTTCTCAGAAATGTAGAGTGGAAAAAATATCAGGATTCTAGTTTGAATCCTGCCAAGTTCACTGACGGGTGTGGAGTTGGGCAAAGTACTCACCGCTCTGCTCTGCAGCCCCTGGACTGACACGCGGAGCTAATGATACCTGCCGGGTAGCTGTTGTGGATGTCGCCTGCACACAGCAGGTGCTCAGGAAACAGCAACTATTATTACTTTTGCTATTGTCAGTATTCACATAATATAGGATGGGCAGTGATTGTTTCTAGAAACATTTAATTTTGACATTCTCTATTTTTATAGAGCTGTGTTAGCATAAATATATAGACATAATGCTAAAAGGAAAAAATATTGAATAATTGCTTTGAGAAAAAGCATAACCTACCATTCCCTAAGGATAGCATGTGAGAGGTATATTAATTTTATGTATATATTTTTATAAGTAGGTCATGCTGATGTCGAGTATCCTTAATTTGGGAAAATATTTTGAAGTGGTACTGTCCACTATTAGGTATTGATTTTATGCCAGATAATTATGTTTTCTGCTTTTATGTTACCTCATGCAAACACTAGTGTATTTTATATTGCTGTCTCCATGCACAGCAATACATGCTGTGTGCACAGCTATATGCACAAAACAACAATAAGAAGTATCCTTCTGCTATTGGTGATGGAGACCATCGCATCTATTGCAGCAGGAAGATGTTTATCACACGTGTATTACTTACATCAAGACCAGGCTCTCCATCCTTCCCCTGCCAAAGAACCACAGTAGCTACATTAGTGTTCCTAAGTTTCATGAACGGGTTATTGCTTCACTTGAGGCTGCCTGGACATGCAACACTCATGCTAAAACAACTACTTCAGAAATATGAAAAAGATTATCGATCAGTAATACAAATTTCTGTAATTAAATTAAGTGTAGTGACTGTTAGTATTGCAGTTAAGGGTCATGAAAAGTTTTTTATTATATATTGGGTTAAACAGACTAATATTTGGCTGAAGTTTAAAGTTTGTTATCCAAGTTATCAGTCCAGGAGTTAAGTTGAAAGCAAACATACAGTTTAGTTGATTTAAAATCATACCAGCATGGATAGAGGATGTGAATCAATGCTGCGTTAGTTTGATAACTTTGTAGTTAGCTCATAAATGAGTAAAGAATGTGAAACTGTTTATTGTTAAATACAGTTTTAATTTGGCCAGATGTACACCTTGTGTATAAATATTAAGGGTGTGCAGGCTGCAACTTAAAAACTGGTTTTAAGTGAGCTTTGTGAATGACTGAGCCCCAAGTATAGCAAGATGATAAAGTCACCTCACGGTGCAGCTTATCATGCTGGTGACCCTAGTGTGTCATACCATGGATCCACCCAAAGTCTCTGAGAGGCTACTTTGATTCTGTCAATTAGATTTTGAAACATATTTCAAGATCAGCATTTTTTTTTAACACTGAAGTAATCATGGTTTAAGTTGATTATTTCAGTTCATAAAAAGTATCTTTGATATACATGCTTCTATTGTAGTCCTACCCTACCCTACTGAATCAATTATAATTATTCCCAAGATAAAGCTTTTGAAGTATACCTTTGGCCTCCATTTGAATTCTGAGTAATTGAGAATTTCAGAAGATAGAACACCATCATCGTTCTATGTTCTGAAGATCATGTCTCATCACAGTCATTTTGAAAAGTCAGAAACATCAAATCATGAATTTCAAATTAATTTAAGAAATAATTTTTACTAGCAGGAGTCCTTTCACTAAATAGCCCGTGAGAACAGGCAGAGTCTGAAGAAGGCTGTTTGGAATGAAGCTTCCACAGCCGTTCCGGGACACAGGGACCTCCGGGCCAGCGCCCGCGGCGGGGGCGCTCAGTGGCGGGGCAGGTGTATCTGACGGCCAGTCCTGCTCTCAGGTCGCCGGCTCGGTCCGAGGCCGTCGCTGGCCCGCGCGCGTGCCGAGCGAGCTGGCGGCGGCCGCTCCCCTAACGCGTTAGTGTGCCCGCAAGCGAGGGTGAGCCGAGCCCTGGCGGGCGTCCGTGCACGCCGGGTGGGGACTGCGCGCGACGGGGACTCACGGGCAGGCCGTAGGGCCCTCTGGGTCCGGGCTCTCCCACAGCTCCTTTTTCACCCTGAAACGAAAAGCAGAGAGTTGAAATCATGCACTCGCGCCTACGCTCGCAGCCTTCTCCTCGCCTGTGCACGGAGCCCCATGTGAAGGGCTGTTCTGCCCAAACCCGAGACCCCCGGGCCCAGGCCCCGGGCGGCGGCTGCGGAGCTGGATGCCGCACGTGGGTGTCTTTGGAATTTGGTGTGCACCATTTATTTGTCTCTAATTAGTTTAAGTTAGCACTTTTTAAAAAATGTGAGAACAAGATGCTTTTTCCCTGGCACACTAATTAAAGACAGAAAAGCAAGCAAAGATGCTTTTTCCCTGCCAAGCGTCCTTCTTCAGAGGAGCCCTTCCTGGACGGCCCGCGCCCGGCTGCCTCGCCCGCCGCACTAGCAGGGCGGCGCCCAGACCGCGGCCCTCCGCGCCCCCGGACACGCGCGCCTCGCCGGGCTCACGGCCCCTCCGCGCCCCCGGACACGCGCGCCTCGCCGGGCTCACGGCCGCCGCGGCTCGGGCGGCGCCCACGCACGGTACACGCGCTGGGTGAACGGAACAGGTCTAACGAACAGCCACACACGCGCGTCGCTTCCTTTGGAAAACAGAGTTTTAGATGCGTGTGCGCCTTCCACTGAATGCTCGACGAGGCCGGTGCACGTTTCCTCCCTCACGCTCCCTTCCAGCGCCCATTCAGACAGAAAGGCTTTCTCCAGCTGAAACGGGGTCCGGGGCCCTGATAAAGAAGGCGTTATTGGCAGTAGTCTCAAGAGTAGAAATAAGATCACAACAGTGAAAGACACATTCCATGAATCCGGTTCAAGTCGTGTTTTCTTCGACTGCCATCTCCAAATCAGAGTGGTCAGTGTTTAGTAGGAAAACTTCAGGAGCGATGCTGATGTTTACGAATAGCCAAACAGAAAACGTTATTTTCTTTTATCATACCCCTGAAGAAGTTTAAAGGTTAGCAAATCTTTCTTCGCAAGTACACATCAGGTGCAGCTGACGCTGTGCCTGCCGAGCCACCTGATGTGCTTGTGTGTCTCTATACTCCGGACTCCACGCGGGCCGGTTTCAGGCCGCTGTTACCATTCGCCTTTAAACTCCAGGGCTTGGTGGAGCTAATGAGCATGCTTGCCGAGAGGCACGTGCGGTACAGGTGCGATTACTGAAAGCAGATATAATAAAGCTTACTGACTTTTCACTCATGATTACCTTAGGGTTATTACTAAAGCAGCAGCAATTACACTCAGTAAAGTGGCCAGGCTTTAAATAAAACAGATTTAAATTTGAATTCCTGTGTTGGTACTTTCTGGCTGCGTGGCCTCCAGCAACTTTCTTAACCTTTCTGTGCCCGAGCTTCATTGGCTGTGAAGTAAGAATAGTAATACATTTTCTGCAGGAATTGTTCTGAAGATCATATGTGATTATAATATATGAAATATGCTGCAATAATATATGCCATAAGTATTAATAGTAGCTATCATTATAATAATACCATATATTAATAGAAGTCTTGTTTTTAATGAAAAAAGGGCTTGGCAACCTAATGAGTACTAACTCAAAATCAATTTCTTTCAGTTTGATTTGGCTGTGCCATTCATGTTTTTAAAACGGTGTGTGTGTGTGTGTGTGTGTGGTGGGGGTTTAAAGGGAGTGATCACATAAGCAGGAGCAGGTCTAGTTTGAAATGACTCCACAGATTAGGGTAGGTCTAGTTGGAAAAATACTCACAGGTTATTTTGAGATAACCACTCCCTTCTCCCTTGTCTGGTTGAGAAATGTGGTTTTGTTTTGTTTTTAAAACAAATATACTATGGCTTATTTGAATACAGCTGTCACTAAAACATTTTGTCGGCCGGGCATGGTGGCTCACGCCTGTAATCCTAGCACTCTGGGAGGCTGAGGCGAGAGGATCGTTTCAGCTCAGGAGTTCGAGACCAGCCTGAGCAAGAGTGAGATCCCCATCTCTACTAAAAAAATAGAAAGAAATTAGCTGGACAATTAAAAAAAAAAAGAAAAAAAATATATAAAATTAGCCAGACATGGTGGCGAATGCCTGTAGTCCCAGCTACTTGGGAGGCTGAGGCAGGAAGATCGCTTGAGCCCAGGAGTTTGAGGTTGCTGTGAGCGAGGCTGACTAGCCTAGCTAGTCACGGCACTCTAGCCCTGGCAACAGGGTTAGACTCTGTCTCAAAAAAAAATTTTTTTTTTTGTCTATGAAACTTCTAGACTAGCCCACCCCAAATAATTACTTTAAGCTAATAATGACAATTCCTTTTCTCTTGCCAGTGACAGCTTTAGAGACGGACAGATGCCCCAGTGCTGGCAAATGAAGTATCAAGGGCAGTGGGCTGGGAAGCTCGGGGAAGGTTTCCCCCTGCTAAGGAGGAGACACACGGGAGAGTCCTCTGCTGCCGTCCGATGCCACCCGCTTGCTTGTGCTCAGAAGACAAAGCCAGCTCACGGAAAGGCTACCGGAGCAAAGCCTCCAGTCCTCCTTTGAATATTCTGTTCTACCAAACAATCTCTTTACTGTTTAAGACATTTTAAGTCTGGATTCTGTCACGTAGAGCCAGAAGTATCCTAATGGTTCCAGTCTGAATACTTTTAGGAATGAAATATTAATATTAACACAGGGATTTGAATGTGCAACTTCTTTTCCTGGGTTAAGTAATTCCAAAAGAATTTCTGAACCTCTCAAACATAACACTCTCTGTAGACTTCCAAAGCAGTTCCAAGGCCAAATGATGAAATCAGGTGAGGGCAGGGAGCCTCAGGTGCTTGGAGAGCTGAATAGTAATGCTGGCGGTCATATATTTGACAATTTTTGAATAACGCTGCCTGTCAAATGCATGGTTTCTTTTAGTCCATTCTAATTTCATTCAGGCTCTTTAATTTGCATGTCTACACTGAGCTCTTATTCCAGAATGCCTTTTTGCTGATTCCTACTTCTTTAAAATTTGAAACTTTTTCAAGAGAGTCCAGATGGCGCCTCAATCAATTAACTTTGAGGATCACACTCCAGTTTAGCACTTGGGTGAGGGGCACTTGGAGAGTACCGATATATGATCCAGTTAAGATAGTTAACATGCTGAGTAAATACAAGTGTAGCACTTCACACTCCACACCATTTGACTTCAACTATGCCTTCAAAAATTCTTAGCGATTTCATTTGCTCTTCTGGTTAATTCTGCCCCAGCACTGAGACCTGATACTCCTGTGACACTGTGGAGCTATCGGAAGTAGCAGCTGATTTACCAAACGGTAAACCCTCTTGAGCCCCAGGGCGTTTTGCCAAAAGACCGCCTGAGATTTGCTGCTCCAATTTTAGTACATGGGCCGAACTGCTTCGTACAATGCTTCGTACAATGCTTGAGAGCAAATCTTGCGTCTGCAGCATCGAGGCTCTTAGCTTTTAAATTTTTAATTAAGATGATCTTCAGAAGTCGTTGGTTTGACCTTAGAAGTAAGACAATTGCAGATTCAAATTCTGTAATCCTTTAGAATTCATCTGTTTATAGAAGTCTTCATCATTGTATGCATAGCCTATACTATTTTATTCACTTTGGCCTCGTTTTCTGGTTATTAAGTATTAATAAAAGGCTAGGGGATGAATAATTGATTGCAATGATATTATCCAACATACTGGAGCAAATTAGCAACACGGGCTTTACCTAAGGGGAGGAGAGTGTTTCCAGTTCACACTAGAAGTGATACCATGCTTTGCACATAGTAGCATTTGAGATATATTTATTGCAGGAATGAATTCACTTTATAAAACACAGATTTATGGAAAAGGAAGGCACGTCAAAGAAACCACTACTGGGCCTCTTTCTTGAAAGCAAATTATCTTCGACTGATGAAAACCTATACAGTTTTAAAAAGACCATAAACTTGCACAGTGAATCACTTCAACATTCTGAAGCCCTTACTGTTAAGATGCTTTCTTTATATCCCATCCTGCATGGTGGGGGAGTTGATGACACAATTGCACTCAGACACACAAACACTTCTGTGTTTTCTAAGGTGAGGAAAAGAAAAAGTGGGAGGAAAACAGAGAGGGAGGGAGGGAAGGTCTGGACAGACAGGCAGCTGCTGATACTGCAGCACATTTTTTTGTGTCAGATATTTATCTTCCCTTCTCAATGTCTCCCCCCACCCCCCAGGATAAGGAAACATGGCCTAGCATTAGAGAGGTTAGTGAAAGGTTTTTGTCTTATAATGAACTGAAATTATTTCCTTATGGTTAAAGAAAAACAGCTATTCTTTAGCTTTAACAAAAAGGAAGCATGTGTAATTGTGAGGAGAATACTAAGGTTTTGTAATTTCCTTTGGAAAAAAATTTGTAGCTTAGAATGAATACAGTAGCTTTATATATAAAAGATTATCAACCAGAATATATAGTCCTGGAAATTTTAACCCCATTGACTTCAACTTTCTGGATGAAGGCCAAATGAAAATACCTTCCTTATGGGTTAAGAAAGAATAATCCGAACTGTTTATTTTAGCTGTGTAAATGTATGCATTGTTTTTATTAAAGCAGCCATATTCTATTTTATACTCTGTGGTTTTCTTCTCTCAATGTTAGGATTCTGAATAGAACTTACGATGATATCTATTTTCATTTAATATTAGATAGCCCTTAATTTCTCCTGGAAAATGGACAGTTCAAGTTCAACTAACTTGGAAAAGCCATGCTCTGTGTTTTCTTTAGCACACAGCTTAATAACTTCAGAAGCAACTTACTCTTTCTCCTTTGGGACCTGCAGGGCCGTGGGGTCCCATAGGACCATCTGTACCCTAAGAAAATATAAAAATAAGATAATATGAGACATAACACAAGGGCCGCAAGTATCACAGTTATAATTTGTCCTGGGCTTTTCCTGGGTGAATGATACCTTAGAACATCAGAAAGACAACTTGTCTCCTTTCAAAGTGCTTTACATTCGATTCTTTCAGGCCAGTGGTTTCCAGGAAACTCATGCAAAAAGGATGAATTATGTAACTGCATATTTCAATGAAAGGTACACACAAAAAGCTATATATCATATTTAGTTATATGCTTACTTCCTGACCAAGTAAAACATCTTCACTTCGCCCCTGTTACCTTAAGACAAATGTTATTGTTTTTCTCTCCTGTCACCTTGTCCTCAAGCCCTCTCTGCACATCCACTGCCACTTGTGCCCAGCCATGCTCTGAAGTCTTGCTTTCAGCTATTTAAGAGGCTTAAACAGTTACACACGTGGAAAAAAAAATATTCAATCAACAAGAACAGTGTCTATCTGTTTAAACCAGCAGGGCCTCCAGGGCAAGACTGGCTCTTACAGGCTCTGCTGCTGTGGCTGAAGTCGCGAGCTGGGCGGCCGGGATGGGTTAATGGCATCACTGCCCTCTGGCCTCCTCGACAGTTCACAGTTAGGGTTTCTGGGGGAGAAGAGGTAACATTTGAAGGAATATAGGAACGCTGAGGTACACTGAAAAATAATGACTGCCTGAAGCAGGTTTTTAGAAATGAAAAGCTGGGAATTTCTTTCAGATTCTTAAAAACGTAGTGAGGACTTCAATTATATTTGCTCATTTTCAGGAAGACTATGATTAGATATTCAAAGAATTGATTATCATATTTGCAAATGCAGAAACTATTCCAGCACAACTTGTCTATAGTATTCCCATTTCTATTTTACAATTCTGGTTTATTCTGTTAGAGCCTTGTGATAGAAAAGAATTCAGAGTTTCAAAGTCATTCTAACATTAGTGAATTCACCTTAACTGATCTTTTTCTTACTGCCTGAACTCAAAGTTCACCTTCAGAAGACTTCTAAAATACTGAGTATCTGTGGCTGAAATTCAAGAGATGGAGCTGTTAAGAACCAAAGAAAAGACACAAAAAACGACAGAAGACAGACAAGTCATTTCTATGAACAGAGATCTGAAAGTCAGTTCCAAGGAAAAAGTTACATTTCTAGGATAGAGATAAACCTAAAAGGAAAAGCAAGTTAAAAAAATGTCACATTATTTTACTCTTTGCAGAGGCCCTCTCTCTGGCATCATAGGGAATGTCTGCTGGTTATGGGAAAATCTGTCTGGGATTCTTTTGAGACAATGACGCTAATTAGACTGGCCATGACCCTAGCAATTGTCCAGACTTGAGCGGGCTTGGGCGGCGCCCGCTGCACTGCAGGCGGAGCCGCGCCCACCCTGCGCCCGCCGCACTCCTGCCTGCAGCCTTCTCGCCGCCTTCCCCTTCCACTCCGGCCCTGAGCACCCGTCATCACGCGGCGAGAGGGCATGGAGCAAAGGAGTCCGTCCAGGATTCGCAGCCGCAAAACGCGTCAGAGCACGACGAGGGACTGAACTCACCCGGGCTCCTGGCTTTCCGTCTAAGCCAGATGCTCCCTGTGTGATTTGGTTGGTAGCAGGGTTGGTGGGTGTGACACGAATGACAAGAACAGAGATTAGTATGAGGCACTGATGAACAAATGCAACACTTCAAGCAACATAATAGGCAGTCACGGGGTTCTGGGATGAATATCACATGGCTACAAATTGTTAGTGTTTTTTAAAAAAACAAACCACATGACAATAAACACCCCACAGATGATGGCATTTTAATGACATTTCTAGGTGACAAATTCTTATTGAGAAATCAAGTTAATGGAATTTATAAAGCGGGCTACATACAACGTAGTTACAGGTAACAGAGGCTCCTATCTAATTTCCATACGAAACTTGTTTTCTAAAGACTGTACTATTCAGAATATATTTATTTAGGTTCTGAAGAAAAATAATGGCAATCACCTAAGAAAGGGCTCATTATAATAACCAATCAAATTTAGTACTTCAGAGGAGAAAAAAAGAGCTCTGGTTACATTTGTTAAAATAGTATTTATGTTCATCTTGAAGCATTTTGTCTGAAAAAAAATTTAAAAATAGTATTTATGGATAACAAATGCTGGGTTTTAACATGCCAGGATGACTGTGGGTTTTACATGAACAGTACTTGTTTTCTGGGTTGCTTCTACATTCACATTAGTTGCCACTAGAGGGACTTCTAGGAACAGGAAAAAGTCAGACAAAAATCGTGAGACCAAGCAAAAAATAACTCCCAAACTAAATTGTCCCTAATCCTTGCATCAAAGCCTGAATGGGAAATTACTTAAAAATCTAATGTTGTTTTCGGGCAATGCATGCTTTTCTTTGAACTCTGGGCTACACATAAATAATGTATTATTTTAAAAGGGCATTTCCAATGCTTGTTTTAAGAATAAGCACAATTATTTCTTTGCTATGTTTTTTGTACCTCAAGGCCCAACTATTTATTTATAGTCCTTAAAAAACATTGATTATATCAAGGAGTATTTAAAAAAAGGCAATGCACTGGCCCTAAAAATTCTCTTGGCAAGGTTGCAGAACTATATATCCCAATTTTATGCTTCAGATGTAGTCAATAATACAAAATGGAAGGAAAAATCTATTCCAGCTGCAAACTCTACCAATAATGCTATACTATAAACATTTTGGGTATTTTTAGTTTTTAATTTTAAAATTCCTTCTGTATAATCCTATTATGATCCATACCATAACGGCAAAATACATCTTTAGTTACTAATGATTACCATGGAAATGTGTATTGTTTGCTTAATGCTAGCATAGGTAGATCTCTTAGCTAAATGTTCATAAAAATTATCTATAGCCCTAAATTTGAAATTAGGGAAAACTTTAAATAAATCAGACTGAAAGTTAAAATAAAATAGAAAATCCAAACTTTCTTTTGCCTTTTGGTATTTTCTTCAGTCACCATTATTATAATATTTGAAAATAAATGGGGAAATGGTAAAAATTTTCCACCAATAATATTATATCTACTTAAAATGCTGAATTAATGACTCACATATGTTACAGATACTCTATGCTTGTGGTGCATTGATCAATTGGTGTGATTTAACCTATTTCTAATATGAGTCTTACATCAGTCATTCAATGAATAAACACACGTTGAACACCTACTCTGTGCCTAAGCATTTGCTGCCTTAGTACTTATGGGACAGTACACGTGGAAAAATGAAATAAGTGATCATAAAGCTTTTGTTTCCTCCTACATCTCAGATATGTGCATAAACTATTTACTACTAGCGACTCTGTCATATTTTACCAATGTAATCTATAATATTCTTTATTGTCTTTTATCTGCAATCACTGAATAGACAGCATATTAAAAGCTTGAAATTAAAGCCTCATATCCAATAATAATTTTTAAAAATCTCTTTTTAGTTTTCATGGAAAGAAGGCTGGCATAAAATCCATCAGGGGAGGACATCTCTTTTTCATTAAAAATAAAAATAAACAACTGAAAAATACTTCTTCCATACTATGCACTAGTGCCAGAAGAACCTCATGACAGGGAATTTTCCAAACAAACAACACAGAACATGTAGAACACGGTATGATCGATTAACATGAGGAGCCACCGCACTGCCCTGTGCCATCAATGGTGGCCAACTGCATACCTGCCACGGACAGCGGGCTGCCGTTTTGGTGTATAAGGAGACAAAACAACTGAGGGAGGATTTTAAGCTGCACTAAATTATAAAAAGCTTTTGGTAGAAATTATGAAATACTTTCTAAAGAGGAGGATGATGGGAAAGCATTGCTAGCCCTAAAAGAGGAAGGTTGGCATGTATGTAACTGCAGCATGACGGAACATTTACGGCAGTGTTTGTTATGGGGTCTTCCTCTGACACAGAGCAGACATCAGAGAAAACAAAACTGGGCTGAGCTCTGCTTTAACATAATGTTTTCTAATCACGGAAATCTCAACAGCAAGACAGCTGCTGGTAAACCAGAATTGTTACTTAGGGCAGAAAGAAAAATCTTGAGATTTGCACTGAAATGGAAAGTTTTCTTTACTTACTGGAAGACCAAGGGGTCCTCTGTCACCCTTGTGACCTGGTTCACCCTTCAATCCTTTAACACCATTTAACCCTGGTTCACCCTAAATGCAAAAGCAAATGCCAATTTTGGTTGCTATTATGGGTGTTTAAACTATGAGAGAAGAGAGCCAGTCTCTGAAATAGTTGCAGATTCCAGTTTTAGGTAACAGCAGAGTCAGGCTAATTTGTCTTGTATCAGCTTGAAAAGTAATTTAAAAATTAAAAAAGTTAATAAACTGAAATTGACAATTAAATAATATTCTAGAAGGTAAAACTCCTAAGAAAGCATGCTCCTTACAATCAAAATATGTTTGACTGAATTCCCGAATCTTTTGAGTTCTATCTCAAGGAAATTAGTATCATATTAAATTGTTATGATCAAGCAAATTAAAGACAATCAGAGTGAGGGATACTGAAAGTGGTTCAGTAGGAAAAGCCACTCTGCTGGAATGGAAAACTGGAATATGCAGGACAGTGTTATAGACAGATATTTTAAGCCTTTAAGCATTTTGCTCAAGGGAATGAGCTAAAAATGTAGCAGCTGATGTTTGAAGTAATGCCATTTAGCAAGTCCTCATTCACTGACATTGCCAAGTCAGGTCCCTACATGGATTAATCAAGAGTCGACAACAAATCACCAATCCCAGAAGACAATATGAAGATCAAAGAACTTAAATGTAGTTTCACTGTCTGCCCAATGTTAGAATAAAGGAGGGATGGATTTAACTCTGGGTGACATTACAAAAGCCATGGTAAATGATAAATTCTCTTGACTCTGTTTTTTAAAAATAAAAAAAAAATACAGTACACCTATTTTCCATCAGTAACAGTGTATCAGAGAGAAAGTTCTGACCTATATACTTTCCAGGTACAGACATTAATTTGTCAGGAAAATCTCGAAGGACTTGAGAAAGGAGGATGAACTCAGACTCAGATGCCCTACAGAGAGCCTTGCCGAGTGGGGGCGGGGCAGGGAGGCGGTCATGCGCAGAAGGCAGAGGGGATTTCTAACCTCGGCGTATTTACTCAGTTTGCTTGACGGCGAAGATCCAGTAAAACGGGAAGGGCCCAGAGCCCCACCCAGTCCACAGTAGCACAGTAATGGGTTTATTTCTGTATGTGTTTATTTTTGAGACAGGGTCTTGCTCTGTTGCTCGGCCTAGAGTGCAGTGGCATCATCCTAGCTCGATGCAACCTCAAATTTTTGGGCTTAAGCGATCGTCTTGCTTCTGAGAGGCTGGGACCACACAGGCGCGCACCACCACGCCTGGCCAATTTCTTTATTTTTCATAGAGACAAGGTCTTGCTATATTGCCCAGGCTGGTCTCGAATTCCTGGCCTTAAGTGATCCTCCTGCCTCAGTCCCCCAAAGTGCTAGGATTACAGGTGTGAGCCACCGCATCTGGCCTTGAGTATCTTGAATAAGCCTCCCAAGTGATTCCTCTCAATAGGAAATTCTGGGAAACACTGCGCTACACTCATCCACTGACTCACACTAAATACTTGAACTTTCAAAAGGGTCACAAAATAACGAACACATTGGCACGACATAATACATTTTCAGGATTCTGAAGACAGGATGTTCACAGTGCAGCCACTATAGCAAATCTGCCGGTACTGTTGTAGGTGCTGTTGTAGGTAAGGTGTGATCACAGGAATGCCACAGGGTCAGAGTCCACATGACACTAAAGCCAAGGCTCAATAGTGAACTTCAGTTCACTGGTCTACACTTGCCATCCATGGCTTTGCACGTGTGTGCACGTTCAGCAAGTGGTCTTGAGAGGATGAAGGGCAGGGGAGCCTTGATAGGCTATGAGATTCTTTGGTGGGGAAATGGGAGTTGATAGAAGTGGGTATTAATTGAGAAGATCAGTCTAAAAGCAGTTAAATTTAGTAATAAAAAGACCAAATTTCAAGACTGGACCTAAATTTTCATCCTAGATTTGTCATTAACTAGTTGTGAAATTTGGGGCAAACAGCCTACACTTCTTGGGCCTATCGTTTATCATCTATAAAATCAAGTTTGTCATCTAGCATAGATAACCTACAAGGTTCTTTTCAACTTTACAATTCTCTGCAATCTATGACTTAAGTAACAAATGAAGTTATGTGGACAAAATAAATCATTGCACTTTAGATAGTCAAGAGGATCTTGAACATGTCCTAACCCTGTAGGGTTAGGCATTTCTGAATGACTCGTGGAATTAAACTTAGTCTTGGTGGCTTTGCCCCTAGTCATTATGATTAGGCTGGTCTTTGATGGCATCTTAAAATCCAAGCAGAAGCTAGGAGTGGGAAGCACTGATCTAGTCAGGAGTGGGAAAAAGGCCCGGACAGGTTAAATAACTATGATGATCACAAAGCTAACAGATGGGGCTCTCTCTTCTGACCCCCTGAACAGAACTCTATCCCCAACCCTTAATCCATGCTGCTGGGACACGGCACCTTGTCTAGCCTTGCCAGAAGGTAAGGATTCTAAGGAGAATAAAGAGGCATGCACTCCTCCCATTCTTGGGAAAAGGAAACTCAGATTCCCTGAGTCAGACCAATGCCTGCTGCCCCCACAGGAACTGGGTGGGCCAAAGGAACCAGTCCCCAGAGGAGAAGCTGGGCTGCCTCTGGGTTTTCTGATGCCTGGTGCCCACGTCCCATTCATGTCTCCCCATCCCCTGCCTTTTTAATGTCCCAGCTTACTACGGAAGCACTTTTGGGAGTCCTTGTACCTTCTTTCAAGCAACCTTGAGGATGAACTACAGAATGTTTCTGTTCAGAGCAAAGCATCAGATAGCAACAGTAACATCTGACTCTCATTGGCCATTTATCAGCAACGATGCCAGGTATTTTGCCAAGTGTTTTAAAATCATACCTCATTAACTGATCACAACACTATGAGGTAAGTCACCCAGCTGAGTAAACAAAGGATGAGAGAGGGTCAGTAATCTGCCCAGAGCCAGATTAGAGCACGGTCCTCACCACACCCTGGAAGGAGGAGGAGCTTGCCTTCCGGGCTCCCTGGAGTCCCCAGAGTGTGCTCTCAGTCTCCACAAAGGCAAAGAGCAGGTGGAGGCAGCCTCACGGTGCGGCTGCACTGATGCTGACGGAGGGGCTATTCGCCATTGTTCTTTTTTTAACTCAGAGTGTAGAATCCATGTAAGCAGTGTGACCTTCTCCCTCTCCTGCAGCACGCTGTGTACCCCGCCCCTTTCTAGACCAGCGACTGCAAAATTAGACACAGGCTAGTCACAGCATTCAGGAGCAGGGCCGCTATGTGGCAAGCAAGGAGTATCAATGAGTGACATCCAAACGTACAACTGGAGACACCAGAAAGAGAAAAAGCATCTGACTACTCTGATAATGTCATCAGATCCACTCTTGAATGGCCGACTTGAGTATATTACGATTAGTAATTTAAGAAACTTACACAGTGATGAGGAAAAAATGCAAAATGAGGAATAATTTTTCTCCAGGTGATATCATTTAAATTTGTTGTAAGTCATTGTGTGTTGTGAGATTTAAACATCCGGATGCTTAAAGGCTTAAAGATTATCAACATTACTTGACAAATAAATAAAACAGGACAGACATGCTTCTGTCATGCTTCTCCGTGATTAGCAAGGAAATAGAAATCAAATAATCAAGGGATTTGTTGGATTACCTTTGGTCCAGGAAGTCCGTGGGGTCCCTGAAAATGGAAAACAGAGCTTTTAATTAAGAACTGATTCACCGTTTCCCAGCAGAAGTGAATATTATATCAAGTAACAAAAGAGATGTAAAACAAGAATCATCTTGTTTGAGCTATAGCTAGAGGCAGGCCAGTGGATGTTATTTATTACCTACCAAAAGTTCCTTCCAGCTCCTGGATTGCTCTGTAATAGGAAATTCATTAGTAGCAATTCTGTCTGCTCTATACCTCTGCAAGTGAGGGAGAAATCTGCCAGTATTATATGGAAGAAGAAAATGGAAAAGAAAGTATTTTGAACTCATATTACCCTTATTTCTCAAATTTCCATTTTTAAAGAAATCTGGATGAAATATGTGAGATGCTCCATGAGTTTAAATGGAATAGAGATAAGATGTAAAAGACAGAAATTTGTCAAAGAGAAGTCCCAGATTTTAAGCACCAGAGAAGAGACCTTTTCCATTAACTCCTCCAGACTCAAGGTGTTGAAGAATATAAAGTAGACAGGAATACTCTGGTTTCTCTTCAGATCGCATAAATCTTTTGCTTTTTAAAGGAGATGAGAAATGAGGAACTGACAACCAATTTTGAGATCCTGTAGCATCATTTACTCAATTTAAGATTAAGGAAAAGATTCTAATATAGGAAGCCTAAGCATTATTATTTTGATTGCATTTAAATTTACAAAAACAAATTCTTCAAGGGTATTATAACAATTATTTACCAGTGGAAGAAAGTGACAATGCATACATGAATCAGGATAGAAAAAAGCCATGCATTTTGTAGAAAATCTAAATACAGAGACTAATTAGCCAACTTAAATTAACTAAAGCTACTGTGGATTGCTTTCAACTTTGCAAGTGATTCAAATAAACTATTTGTAGAGAAGAGTATTTAAATGTCCATCAGTGAGATCACACAACAGTAGGAAAAAGTTTTTGTCGAGCAATCCTAGATATCTGTTACATATGTGTACATTAGAATAATATTTTTCTTTTCTTTTTTTAGCTTAATTTTTAATTTTTTTTTATTACTTCATATTATGGGGGTACAGATATTGTTAGGATTACATATCTTGCCCCTGCCCCTCCCCCACCTCGCTATGCCAGAGATTCTAGCGTGCCCAGCCTCCAAGTAGTGCGCACCACACCCACCGTGAGTACCTACCCTTCCCCTCCTTGCCCCTGCCCACCTCCCCGTTACAGACTTTTTTTTCAGACATTTTGGTTACAATGTATATCTTTACCTCTCCCTAAAAAGTGATAGAGGTAATCCCTTCCCCCCCACAATGCTTGCCACTTCCTTAAGATGTGGGTCTCCCCCCCCCCAATCCCTTTGAACACAACCGTTTTTTGAACACCATAGTTTTAGTCAGTCAGTACCAATTTGATGGGGAGTAGATGTGTAGCCCATTTTCCAGATCTTGTGTCGTCTCGCTTTGTATTACGGGCTTAAGCTTAATCCAGGATAGCATAAACGGTGCTAAGGTCATTGTCGTTTCTTAGGATTGAGTAATATTCCATTGTGAGCATATACCACATTTTAGTTATCCACTCATGAACTGACGGGCACTTAGGTAGTTTGCTTTCAGATAAGTTGTGGATAAACTTTTTCAGGAATTGGCTGTTATTTTATCAGGTATTCTTATTTCATTTTAGTAACAGATTAAAATTCCTTTCAACTAATTCATTTTATAATAAGAACAGGATGTAGCATTTTCTGATTTAACCTTCTAACTTAGAGGAAGTATTTAAAAACGCCAAAAGTATGCCATTTGCTTATGAACCACTTGGTTTTAGGAAAATAAGGTCAATTGTCATTGTTTGTGTTATGAAATAGAAATAGCAGTTAGGAAGAAGTGGGTGATTGTCTACCTACCCTCTGTGGCCTGGGCCACTCCAATGATGCTCTTATAGCATAATGGGAGGAAAGAGTGACCACGATTCACTTAATCTGCATTACTGAAATCTTTTGGTTTACTGAGACACCTTAGAGACGCATGTGACCTTACAGCCAGCTTAACTTGCCCCTAATCTGCACCAGGCAAGTGTTATAACCTTTTTTTTTTTTTTTTTTTTGAGACAGAGTCTCGCTTTCATGCCTAGGCTAGAGTGAGTGCCGTGGCATCAGCCTAGCTCACAGCAACCTCAAACTCCTGGGCTCAAGCGATCCTCCTGCCTCAGCCTCCCGAGTAGCTGGGACTACAGGCACGAGCCACCATGCCCAGCTGATTTTTATATCATATATATTAGTGCCAATTAATTTTCTTCTATTTTTAGGTAAGAGACGGTCTCGCTCAGCTGGTTTTGAACTCCTGACCTTGAGCAACCGCCCGCCTCGGCCTCCCAGAGTGCTAGGATTACAGGCGTGAGCCACCGGGCCCGGCCAAGTGTTATAACCTTAACACATCTATCAGCGGTTCAACATTTAGAGCATTATTTAATATTAGGCAAGATACTGCCATGCTGGCCGGGCTGTGCAGCGGCTGTTTTACAGGCACGATCACGGGACACTGTGCCTTGAACTCCAGGGCTCATGAAATCCTCTCGCCTCAGCCTCCTGAGCAGCCGAGACTACGGCCTCTGTGCCTTGCTAAGCTTCATTTTGTCACACAGTTTCATAAATGTGCTTTTTTTTTTTTAAATGAACGCATACCTATAAGGTACAATATGATATTTCAATACATGCACACATAAATGTTCATGTAGAACATTTCATTACAGCGGCCCAAAACGCAGAGTTTGTTAGAAACATTCTTTCATGGCTACAATTATTAATCTTATTCTGCCACTCCCAGACTAGAGCAGTGACTGCAGAACGATTTGCCAATGTTCATGCCATGCGGTTGGAGGGCAGCTCGACACACCTGTCTGTCTTGCCTCAACTCCGCTACGCTCTCTCTCCCCAGTGTGTCTGGGCAAGTGAAGGCAGCGCCGCCAAGTCAGGGTCTCTCTAAGCACCCCGTCTCCTCTGTGCACCCCGTCCCTTCTGTGCACCGCCGTCTCCACCTCGTGCACACTGTCCCTTCTGCACTCTCTCCTCTGTGCACCTGTTCCTTCTGTGCACCCGTCTCCTCCGTGCCACCCCAATCTTCCCTCCCTTGCACCCCCCGTCTCCTCCTGTGCACCCCGTCTCCTCTGTGCACCCCGTCCCTTCTGTGCACCCTGTCTCTTCTGTGCACCCCACAGAGAGAGGCACAAAACGCAAGCTGGCTGCTTGGGAGGCTGCGTTTGTGTGTGCTCTAGTAGCATGCTCCTAAATAAACAATCGCGTTGTGGAGAGAAGGGAAACTCACCATGGGGCCGGGTGGGCCGTGGGGACCTGGTGGGCCTGGGGGGCCTATGATCTGTATGTCCAAAAAAATAAACATGGATTTGGTTACTTCATTTCGATAAGGCAGTTCAGCTTGATGCTCGTGCAGGGCTTCTGCTAAGGCCATTAGCAGTTACAGAGGAAGGAGACTGGAATAAATGATGCGCCTGATTCTCTAGATTTAGAAATTCCTTCATGAGAATAAAAAACTTAAAAAATACATACATAGTTGTTCTACAAAAGCCAGAACAAATCAACAGCACATTTGAAAGAAAAGGAAGCAACTGATTACCAAGAAATGCTATAATGCCACGGCCACTATTAAACTTCCAAATACTTCACTAAGCATAAACAGGGCTCTAGAGAAAATAAAAAGTATGTTCTGTATTTACAAAGCTCTACCCACAAGTGTGGTGGGAAAAGGAGTGATTTTTCTCCTCAGGATTAGACAGTCCTCTGAAAAACTGCTTCTACCTCAGACCTCTGAGACACTTTGTCTCACACTGTACGAGGCCAACAGATGTTGTTTCTACAGTTTGGCACACAGAGAGTTCGCGGTCTTTCTGCGATTGCTAAGTCTTGTGGCGGAGGTGGAACTAGGGGAAGACAGGTCAGAGTTTCAGGAGTTGCAGGAACCACAGATGCTCAGCCACGTGCACTTACGGAAGGACCCTGAGGACCCGGCATTCCGGAGTCTCCTTTTTCTCCTTTCATGCCGTTGGCTCCCTGCAAACAACCATTATGGAGTTAAGCAGGTAAAGTTACTGTCAAAGATACAACTGAATTCTCTCCAGAAACCTATCATTCTCTTGAAATTTTATAACATTATGCACATGAGGTATAAAACAAAGATTTATCTCTTTGCCTTCTAGCCTAAAACAGCAACCTTACTAAAAACAGGATTGCATGTGACATGTAAAATAAAATATAAAGTAAATAAAAACTAGGTTGGGCTTGAATGGTTAAACTTACAGTGTTAAATATATTGGGTTATAACCATTATATCTTTAGTGGTGGTGCTCATTTTAAATAGCAAAGGCAAGTCTTTTAACTTCGTTTTTACTGACATTTATATACTTCCTTGCTTAAAAAAGATATAAGGCAATGAAGTTTACTACCTTTTTTTTTTTTTTTTACAATTTCTACATTTTCCTCTTTAATTCTCAGTAAAAATTATGGGTGAAAACCACAAAAACACCAACCCATATTATTATATACATAAAGAGAGCACTTTTCAGAGTAACTTGTTTTTTAATTGTTCTATATTTTGGCTTTATTTCTTTATTATAGTTTATTTTATAAGAATCAGTTACCACTATCTTATGCATACTAAATCAAAGTGACCAACCATATTAATCTTACTATTTTCTAGTAAAAATAATTCAGGAATACATGAAAGTTTACTTTATAATTTATTTGGTTACATACTTACACACTAAAATTTTAGTCCTCCAGTTGGAGTAATTAACAATAATACCTCGAATATTTCAAAATAAAAAATATTAGATGAACCACTAGAAGAGACTGCAGCTAATAATATAACTCTTGTGACAGTTTAATTTATCTTAATAAGAACATATAAAAAGCATAAACATACCGGTAGACCAGGAAGTCCAATTCCTCCTTTTTCACCTGGCATACCTGGGTCCCCCGTGTCCCCCTTTGAGCCTTTGAGTCCCTACAAATGACAGGGTTTGAATGTAAGAAGCATAGTGACCTCTGATAGTTACAAACTAGGGAACATAGAATTTCAGATCAATTTTGTCAACAGGTTGGTCCTATGCTGAGATAATTCTTTTTTAGGTAGAGTTCTTTCTTTCTTTTTTTTTTTTTTTTGAGACAGAGTCTCACTCTGTCACCTGGGCTAGAGTGCTGTAGGGTCAGCCTAGCTCACAGTAACCTCAAACTCCTGGGCGCAAGTGATCCTCCTGCCTCAGCCTCCCAAGTAGCTGGGACTACAGGCATGTGTCACCATGCCTGGCTAATTTTTTCTATTTTTAGTAGAGATAGGGTCTCCCTCTTGCTCAGGCTGGTCTTGAACTCCTGAGCTCAAGCAATCTTCCCACCTCAGCCTCCCAGAGTGCAAGGATTACAGGCGTGAGCCACCTCACCCAACCGATTTTTAGGTAGTTATTTTTTATAGCCACCTTCTACATGCAATCGACACTATTTCCCCTGGTAATGGGATTAAGTTCTATTAAGCCATTTAACTATGAAAAATATAAACTTAGATTCTGATGTCATTTCTCCTGATTTCATACTTTTGCCTGGTAACTAATTTTATCTCATCAGTCCTGAAAACAACTTAATAGATTTAATTTTCAACAGTATGCTATACATTTTAAATGAGGTCCCAGTGATATAATAACAAGGTCCAAACAAATTTCTCCCATTTCCATCCACTGTATTCCCCTAACCCTATTAACTGCAGGCAGAAGGTCAGTCTCTAGACGGCTAAATCATTGCCTGCCCACTACTGCTCAATGGATGCTTAAAAATACTTCAATTTTTTCAATGGTCTTATTATGTTCTCATGACATCTCTACGAGGTGAGCCAGAATGTTATTTTTATTCTCCTTTTATAGTGAGGAAATAGATAAATGTGTTTTTTGAGTGTTAACAAATCTGAATTTTATAAGACTAACACCTAAATTAATTTATATTGTTAAGCATTTTCATCCCAGGGACCTCACTGCAGTATGACCAGTGGCCCGTTTTTCAGCAGAGATGATCACAGTTATTGTGGGAAGGAGCCCTTAGGCTGCACAAACCTGTCCATATTTTCTATATTAAAAATGACTTAGGGAAAGGATTGAGTCCTTTCCTGTTAATTATACTTATTTCATAGCACCTATTTCAGAATCACTCACTGGGTGGGTGGGTGGGTGGGGTGCCTGAATGAATGGGTGGATCTTTCTGGTTAATCACACCCTTGTTGGTTCAGGAATCTAGTGATGGGGAGCAGCAGCCTGGTCAACCCACTGGACTTGGTGGCAGAAGAAGACCTTGTGAAGCCTATGGAAAAAACTTCAGCTCTTGTATGGGTAGCAGCCACGTAGTCCGTCATTACGCATGTCAAATCAATTATAGTGACGAATAGTGGAACAGGTAATACAGCTGGATTTTAAAATTCTAAGTGATCTCTGATATAGAAAACCATCTAAAGTATCTTCATTTTTTAATCACATTTATTTGATGTGATATTATTTGATTTCAACATACAGCTCTAATATTGAACATAATTCTTCTCCTAAACTTAATATTCTTATCTAATACTTTCTCCTGAGGAATATATGTTCACTAACTGTATGAGGAATCCCCTTAGCTAAAATCAAAGAAATCATAAGAAGTTGTTTCTTGGGTAAGTAATGGAAACTCAGAAAACACTACAGATCGCAAAACTAACCCTGTGATTCCATTCTGTATTCTAACACTGGCCTACATTCTTCTGGCCATATTCTTTTAGGGCAAGGGTTAAACCATGGCTCACAGATGCCAGCCCAGCCCAGGGATTGCTTTTGTACAGGCTCAATGTTTTTAAAATTTTAAAAGGGATATTGAAAAACAATTTGAGATAGAGACTGTCCATGGCCAGCAAAGCCTAAAACATTTGTCACTTGGCTCTTTATTAAAGAAAGTTTGCAACCTCTGTTTGAGGGTAAACCCTTGGAGATACAGCTAAACTCTGCAAAGCTACAAGTGCCTCGCCTATTTCTACCTTTTCTAAGGATCTAGGAAATTAGGTATAATCTTTATTTGGGAAAAGAAAATACTGTCAAAATAATACATATAAGCAATATCTAATTTTGTGGAAACTATAGTCATTCATTTTAATCCTGAATTATCTGTATTTACTGACAAAAATTAGACTATTCTTACTAAATTGGTAATGATTCTTGTAAGTTTATTAAAAATGTGAAGAGGAGTTACAGATAGATTGACAGGGAGTATTAAGAACAAAACTAAGGCATCCTAAAGGTTGAATGATCCTGCAAACAAAACTAATGCTTAATTTAAAACCAACTGTTTTTAGAGTTAATGTAATTTCTAGAGCAGATGGTGGGGAAAAAAGAGAGGATACTATATCAACACTCATGACTTTTGCGCTTTAAGTCTATAATAGTGATCCATAATGATGCTTTAAATATGGTATATATCTTTAGAAATTTACCTGCTCGCCATCAACTCCTGGCATACCTGGAGATCCTTGCTCTCCCTGTTAAGATAAAAAGTGATGGCTTGTCTCCATTTATCATTTTATTACACTAAATAAAAAATGATGCAAGTTCTAGTTGGTTGACAGTACAATTTGACTTTCAGCAAATTCATGGTAACCCAAGGATACTCTATTATAGCACATATCTAAACTAAGTAAAATAATAATCTTCCTTGAAGATTATGTATAATACTCATAGTTAGCTTAGATGCAGTGTTTTCACTTTCTTCTCCATGAGAGATGCAGGCTGAAAAATGTGGTAAAGAACTGGCAGAGAGAATTTGACGGCTGACCATATCCCAAAGCAACAGCCTATATGCCTCAGTTAATTTTTTTCTCCATCTGGATGGTTTCTCGTATTTTCCAATTTCAGTAAAAAGCAAAACATAACAGCTAACCTAAGAAAAAACAAAACGCAAAGCCTCATGAATTTATAAGAATATTTTAATTGGCATAGTTTGAACAGTAGATACAAATTCATGATTGTGCATATGCTATTTCCAGAAATGCCTCACTGAAGGATATAATAAATCAGATAGTATCCTAATCCACATGAAATTACTTTTGGATCAATTCAATTTCCTATGTTGTGCTGGGAATGAACCAAAATTTACTATTCATCTTATTATTTATTAGAACTTTTGACAAACTCAAAATACACAAATTTGTTTTTTTAAACTGAAGATGTTCCATTAAAAACAAATTTATACAATATGCCTGAGATTTAGTCAAATAACAAATGCTTAGTCACCTTTCAGTTTTGAAAGGTACTGAACAAATTCCTCGACAGGTGTGACATTATTTTATATCAATGAGTCATTCATGTGGCTCCCATTACAAACATCCCTGATTCTCACACTGTGGAAACTTTGTAAAAACAGCTCTTCTGAGTGTGCGGGGACTGCCCCACAGACAGATTTCCAGTGGAGCTGACTTGGGGCTGTATTTTATAGAAAGGCTTGTTTGGTGATGCTATAAACCACGATATTGAAATGGGTAGAGCTCCTTGCCCTGGTAAAAACTTTAAGAGCTTTGGGCCACTGCATGAAATTGGAGCTTTCCAATGTTTAAGGAAGGCATGATCTTGTGGTTCTAAATAAATGAAATAAAAAAGTGGGGGAAAGGCTCTTTTCTTAGTTCAGATTTCCTGTTCTTTGTGGTAGCAGGAAAGTTTATTTTGCCACAAACAAGTCTGCTGAGGTTGGATGCACCTGGGCAAGCCCTCGTTTCATTCAGAGTCTGAATACTTGTCAGCACTGTGGGTCTAATAAGGATTGTTTTGCTAAGCTTTCCCCTTAAAATGAGACTCACAAGTGTTTAAAAGAAAAGCATAATTCATGCGTTATTCATTTTTCCTTCACCCCTCAAATGTGGTTTGTAAGAGTCACTTGATGTCTAAGAAATGAAATAATTCTTGTTTGACAAAGGAAGGAGAAATGCTAAGGAGTAAATTTCCGTTCAGTCTGAGACAGAGTTCTGGGATTGGAATGAGTTTTATACTTGACTCGGGCTACATTTTGCTGTCTTTTGTTCATAGCCATATCCCACCCCAACTATCCCGGCCTTCTAAAGGAGAGATCACCGGAAGCATAAAAGGCTATCTCAGCTAACACAAGATCTCAATTACAAGACCATCGTGGGGTGGGAGTGGGAGGGATAATCGTATAGTGGGAAGGATGCCGAGAGTAGGAGGGGAGGGAGAATGACCAACCCCCTCCTTCACACCACTTGGGAGATATTCATCTGGCCAACTTCTCCCCATCTTTCAGTTCCAGCTCAAAGCCTCTTGACTCCCAAGACTTAGAGTAGCCTTCCCATGCACATGCATACGTAGCACATGTGCTAATCAAACACTGTTAATAATCGTGCCTTTACTTCTTTATCTGCCTTGATAGGCTGTAGGCTCCTTGGTGAAACCTCTTACTAGTAGTACCTTTACTAGTTACTAGTCCTTATCACAGAGGAGAGGCTAACAATTACTTACTGAATAACTGAATTAATAAATGAATAGGAATTGGATTATACAGCCAGGGGGATATAGATTTTAGTGATATAGACTTTTGAGTGAAGTGGTCGTTTTTGCCTCTTTGAGTCAAGGGACAGGTACCTTTTGGCCTTCTGTAGGCTTTTGGACACAAATAGAGGAAAGTTCTAGAAGCTTTTGAAGTTTGTAAGAAATGAGGTATGTATTTAGCTTTGGGAACAATTTTGGTTTTGGAGAATCAGTCAAGTGAGAAGATGAAGCAAGGAACTTAGACCTTGGTTGACTCTACACAAAGGAAAAAGGAACCTGCAGATACCCCTCTAGGTTGTCCAGTCCAGTTCATGAAGATATTAAAAAACAGAGATCTAGGCAGCCTTGCTTACCAGGAATAAAGACTGTGTGGGCCTGGAACATTTTTTGTGTAACATCTCTTAGGGAGACCAGAATGTGGTGGAGAAAGACACAGTTAAGAATCCTACACCTGACATTAATGTTATGCATGAAATCTGTTTGAAATTGGGATCTATGTTCTAAATAGTAATACATCTCACACAGGGAAGGGCCTCAGTAATATTTTACTTTATATTCCTTTATATAATAGAAAAATAATTTTTTCTATGTACTAGGTTTCTGCTTTTAAGTATCAAGAAAGACAAGAGTACAAAAGCTGGTATGTGTACATGTGTGTTATGATAGACTTAGCAAATAAACTGCTTTAAGAAGCATAAACAAAAGATGAATTTTGAAACCACTTGACTCTCCTACAAGAATCCAATGACGAAAGCCATATTTCAACACGTGTAGCTCAGTTCTGAAAAGCCAGAATCGCTGGCCATGTGTTAATTGATCAAACGTGGCTGAACGACTAAGCTTCAGTTTGGAGGGATAAAGCTAACACAATCAAAAATTCTGAAAAGTTCTGAAAAGCCAGAATCACTGGCCATGTGTTAATTGATCAAACGTGGCTGAACGACTAAGCTTCATTTGGAGGGATAAAGCTAACACAATCAAAAATGTAGATAGAATCAAGTAATGCTAGGTTTCTACTGTTTGTTAGTATGCTTCATTAGACAACATTAAAATGGCAGAATGTCTGAATATGTATAATAAAGGAATGTGTCAAAAAAAATGATTCCTAAAACTGTCATTTCTGAATGCATCATGCTAAAGCTTCCCTTGTTCTTTTTTTTTGAGACACAGTCTCACTCTATTGCCCTGGCTAGAGTGCCATGGCATCAGCCTACCTCACAGCAACCTCAAACTCCTGGGCTCAAGCAATCCTTCTGCCTTAGCCACCCAAGTAGCTGGGACTACAGGCATGAGCCACCATGCCCGGCTAATTTTTTTTTCTATATATTTTTAGTTTGTCAGTTAATTTCCTTCTATTTTTAGTAGAGACGGGATCTCCCTCTTGCTCAGGCTGGTTTCGAACTCCTGACCTTGAGTGATCCACCCGCCTTGGCCTCCCAGAGTGCTAGGATTACAGGCAGGAGCCACCACGCCTGGCCTTCCCTTGTTCTTTTTATTACAAAATAATTGGAGGGAAGGATCATTCTCAATGCCAAAGTAAATTTCCTTTAATCCTCCTCTATTTAAATATTTCCTTTTTTTATACACGACATTAGTATTTCTTCACATTTATAAGTTCTATGGAATTTGTTTTTCTTTTGCTTAATATTCTGTTTTTCTCAATGTCCTCCCCTAAATTTAATTTCTCTCTCTTCTTTCCTAGTTTTCCTTTCTTCTTTACTGATTTTTCCTCTTCCTTCAGTCTAGACCTCAATTCTTTTTCTTCACTCTCTGAAGCAATATTGCTGATCCCAGCTTCTTTAGCATTTTGTAAGATTAATTTTCAAGAACTCATATGCTTACTAAGGGCTTCTCTGTACTATATATGGTAAATGGAAATAAAAAAATAAAGAATAACCTTTGGCCCTTGTAGTCCTTGAGGTCCGGGAGGTCCAGGGGGACCCTAAATCAAGAAAAGGTACAATTTTAAAAAGTAGCAAGTACATGTATTAAAACTCATGCTTCAAAGAATAACCATGTTACATGTTACACACTTCTCTTATTTCTATCAAAATCAGATATCCCCCAATATTGATATGTAATGGGGAAAATTTCACTGGTTATATAATTATAAAAACTGCCTATGTATATATTAAAATATCAACACATCTTAGGTCAAAATAATACTGAACATGCTTTTGGGTTGATCCTGTAGATGATGTAAAATTGCTGCTGTGCCCCAAATTCACCTTCTCAGGATTAATTAGCTTATCAATACTACCTGCGTTTCTAGATACACTACTTGCTCCTCCACCCCAGGGCTTTGATTTTCCAAGCTCTAAAGAACAAAGCTATATTATTAAGATAAGGCCAAAGACTTCAAAGAAAATTAACAATAACTTTGTTTCATGGCTTTTTCTAAGTAGACAAAGTGACTCAACAGGGGAAATGTAGTAAAAGGTTATTAACACAAAAACACACAAAATTAAATATCAGATAAAAGCAATTGCTACATTAGTACCATTTTGACTGGCATGCATCAACACCAAATTCAAAACCACAATCCATATTACTATATGTGCACTTAAGTGTTGAAAAAAAAGAAAAAGAAAAAGAAAAAAAATTAAAAAAAAAACAAAACAAAACCACAAACCACAGAAACCATGCAATAGGAGTTACCGTGACAGTTAAGGTGGTAATCCTCTGTTGAGAAAATGTATTGACAAAGACAGAGTTACCTATGTGTGTGCTAAAGTACAATAACACATTTCTGAAATAATCAACTTTTTGAATATGTTTTGGCAAGTCTGATGGCTTATGAAGAATCGACAAGACACCGAGAACATATTATCCTATCTTCAACACAGTATAGTTGTAAAGATTTTTTAAAAATTGGTTTTAGAATCTTATTTTTAAAAATCTATGATTGAAGAAAATAAAATGTCAAAATTTTAATTCACCCGATTAAAAAAATTATATAGTAAAGTAATACACATTAGAGATTTATCAGCATAATGAACTGAGAAATTTTGCTATTGATAAAAGCTCTATTCTAAAGAATACTTTGTTTAGAGAAAATGGAAATATTCAATTGCATATTTTTTCTTTTAGTCTATAGCTCATTTGTTGCATTAAAATTAACATTTTTTTGTGTGATTTCCATGACTAAGGATATTAGTTAACATGCAATTAATCTGGTTCCTTAAAGTGCTAGACAAATGTAACAAAATATACTCTCTCAAAATATGAATAGCTCTAAACATGATTCCTAATCCATGAGTTATATTTTCTAGTCTAGGTCCTCTGCCAAAATTTCTATAGGGCCTATACCACTTTATGAAATCACAGAGCGGGGAACACTTTCCATTAGGGGCTCTGGTCATAGAGAAACATTATCTGATTACATGTAAACTTGTGGGTAATGTTTTTTGTTTTATTTTCCACTTCTTTTCCACTACTTCCACTTTTGTTTTCCACTACTCCATTCCAATGACTCAAGCTGTTGTTATTATTGTTATTGTAAAAAATAATCTTACCATTATCTATCTTACTTCAAATGATTCTCTGGTGACATGGTGTCATCATTCTTTAGAAAACAATATATTATATTTATGCATGTGTACACATGGTTAAAGTTTGTATTTTATGATCAAATAAACAGTCATGGTCATTATAGTTTCAGAGAAACATAAGAGAAAAAAAAATCAGTGCTTTTAGAAAAGCAAAAATGGCCACAAACTGAGGACAAGGATATATATATATATATATCGAGAATTTTATACCCTGAGATCTGTATAACATAAGGTAGCATTTACTTCATTCTTAACGGATTCACCTAGAGCAAGAGTTGGATGCATAGTTGTGATAAAGCTACTTTTTCACTCTTATAGTGTAAATGAGTCATTTAAACAGGGCTCTTAGAAAATCATAAAGTAGAAACAATTCTTTTATCATTGCCTTCCAATTACATATTACTTTTTAACTAGAAAGCAGAATCATAAAACTTTAGGAAGGAAATGAAATGTAAAATTCAAACTCTCTGAAATTTTTCCAACATGTGCCATGTATGAATTCATTTTTCCCCTTGAACACAAACTAGTTTATCTTTTTTAAAATTTAAGAATCACAACATGTTTTATAATGAGCTGCATAATAAAAGAATATTATTAATGGTAACTGAACTAATAGATGGGGTTTAAATGATTTTGTTGAATAACTATGTTTGTAAGACCTGAAAATTGTGTAAGACCTGAAAATTGTGTATTGTGTATTGTAAGCTAACTTCACAAATACACACCTTTGATCACCATCTGGAACCATCTGAGCGCAAACACACAGAGAAGTCCTAAAGATACCTGCTCACTCTGGATTTCTTATATGTGGCTCTTCTAAGTTAAAGCTACATAAACTCAGCAGGGTTCCTCCTGAACTCCAGCAATGGTTTGAAAACCAGAATTTTTAGTAGTGATGGAGAAAGACATGCCATTCTCTAGTGAGACGTGATGTAAAATGAGGGGTATGAACTGTAAATTGGGTAAAGACTATTTATTCCCTAAGATGCTTATATGAATCTCTTTAGAATCAAAGGTTATTTTCTTTTATTTCTTATATTGATGCAAACTTAAAATTGTCCATGATATACACTAAAGCACAGGTTAAGTTTAGATGGTGATGAAAATTTTTAAAAGCCTAAATTAGGAAACAGAGGTTTGACTGCTAGTTATAGAAATTTAATGACCTTAAATAAAAACAAATAGCTTATGGCAATGTTTATGTAACAATTTTCAATAGAGGCAACAGGAAAATGTTATATTTCTAAAATGGTATGATTATAACTGTAATATACTCCTATTTATCTAATTTATCCTAGATTTTCTTTTTGGCAGATTGTTTTAAAGGAGGCAATAATGAAATGAAATCTGTAAAACTATAAATATCCATCACTAGTTGGAGAATTAGAAGAATTAATGTCTACCACCTCTTCTCAATCTAACTTAATGGATTTTATTAGGCACTCTTAATCTACTAGAGCACTACATTAGGAAAACTAATAAATAGTTTTGAATTGAAAAAATAACTATAAGCTATTTATAAGCACAATGTATAGTTGTCCTAATAACCCCATGAGAATAATAAATCTTTAGGTTGGGACATGAGCATGAACTAGCTGACTACGATGGATAGTGACTGCTGTACAGTCATACAGAACTCAAGGTGAGAAAAAGAAACTGAGAGTATTTATCTTTTCATATCAAGATGTAGGTGTCACATTTTTAAAAAAGTATAATGCTTTAAGCACATTAGTAAAAAGTGTTCAGAAGCTCCTAAAAATAGCCCTGAGAATAATACTTGATTTCACAGACTTATAGAAAAATCTACTCCAATAACATATTTATTTTGCAGATAAGATCAATGAAGTATAGATATATTAAGTGATTTTCCCAAAAGGACAAGGACTAGCTAGTTAGTAGTAGCTGGGAGACTGAAACAGAGATTTCCATTTTAGGCTAAAATAGCTTGCCTCATGCCAGACTCTATGCATGCAAAGAATGCTTTAAAAACTCATTCACAGTTTTGCAGAAAATGGCCAATACTATTGGAGAAGTTCTTGAAAGATAAGAGAATAAATACCTCTCTTATCTCAAAGGTATCTTAAATACCTCTCTTAGCTTGTCTCTACCACCTAAAAGGTGGTAGCAAGAATTATGGTATCATTGGAAGTAGTTTAAAGGAAATTTATAACAGTGCTAATAATTAGTTTTAAAAAAGGGTCCATATATTTTATAAGCAAGAACTTTGAAAACATAGTGGGCACACCAAAACTTTGTGTTCTCCGTCTCTCTTTCTCTCCATAAGCAGTTATCAACCCATGGGAAAAAGGGAACAATTTAGAAAACTGGTTCTAGAAGCTGACAATAACCCAGAGGCTACTCTGTATGTCCAGTCTACTTACGCTGAGGAGCATAACTTAAGCTGTTGACCAGAGATACACTGTCCAAGGAACGTTTCTCCAAGCAGTCAACATGCTTCTCTTCACATTTTACCAGACAATAAAGAATAAAGAATGAAAAGACTAGAACAATAGGCTGAGCTGAACACAGATTTTTGCAGAAACTCTCTCGAGATGGGTGAGAAGGGCAGGGAGGCGCCACGGGAAGAGGAATTGGGCAGGGGCTGTTGCCACGCCAGGCACGACGTGAACTCGATGTGGACCTGCTGGAAAGGGAGAGCAGGCGGCCTCAAGAGGCACGTTGGAAAGGAAGTAGGAGCACCTGGTGAGACGGAATAAAGAAAGAACCAAGAATAGTTTTTAAACGGCTCTAAAGTTTCTATCCCCACAGAGTCAAAGGCTCATGGCGTCACTGACAGCAACTAGTTCAGTGAGAGAGGAAATCACCTGGCGGGTGGCGGAGGTAATCGGCGCGCTTGTGTGGATTGGAGGAGGTCGGTAAGGAAGCGGAGCTGCCACAGGAGAACCGTGCGCACAGACGAAGGCAGGCAACAGGGAAGAAGTGGGAGCCGCAGCGTGGAAGCACAGAGGGAGTGAACACACCAAGAAAAGATGACAGACTTGAGGACACCAAAAATCAGAGGCTGGACAGAGAAATTGGAAATACCCAGATGGAGTGGATCCATCAGAGGAGAATTGAAATGAAAGTTGATGGTAGACCAGAAAAAGAGTGGTTTGGGGTAAATGTCACAGAGAAGCAAGGGTGATAAGCACAGTGGACTTGACACAGAGGGCACTGTTGACCTTTGTAGGAGAAGTTGCGACAGAAGGATGAAGAGGACGGAGGCTAGAACGCAGGAGTCTACACACGAGAAGACTGAATCGGAAGCAGAGGTGGTGGAGACGAGCCGCAGTCTAGTTTTTACTTAACGGAAGGGAAACAACTGAAGGGCAGTGACGGTAAGAAATCCTCACACAGGGCTCACTATGTGCCCAGCGCTGTCCTAGGCATCTAGTACTTACTGAGCCCTTTGCTCTTCTCAGGAACCCTGTGAGGCAGACACTGACTGCTGTCAATACTGTCCTCGTTTTATAAATGGGAAAAGTGAGGCACAGAGAAGTGAAATAGCTTAGTCACACATTGGGTGAGCGAGAAGGCTGAGACCTGGACCTGGAGCGGCGGCTCCGGGCCACGGAGCTCCTAAGAGCTTTGCCGAGGCCCTCGGTGAGTGAGGGGCACAGGTGGCCGAACTGCCACAGACTCTCACCCATGCGGCTTAAGCATCTCTGCCGGTGGAGGGGAAAGAAAAGAAGGGATTGAAAAATGCCACAAAAGGAAGAAGACGAACTGGGGCGGAGAGACGGCACGGGTTCAGGAGAGCAGGGAGAAGGCGACGCTGACCGTGCAGCCTGGAGACCAGGCTGTGGCAGCTCATGGCGCCGCCGTCTCGACCGGGCGGGGCGCAGGGACTTGCCTGCAAGGCTTCGTGGAGGTTGCCGTTGTAGTCTATGATCTCGGTGGCTCCTTGATCCCCCTTTTGACCGGGTGGACCCTGCAAGAAAAACCGGCCACGGGAAAGTCACGGGACTTACGTCAGCACAGAGGGTGGATGTGGCAGAAACGGAAACAGCAGCTGGCAGCCCCCTTGACATTACTTCCCTGCTAACCCCGACTGCTAACCCCCACTGTAGAATAAATAAATAACTGTGCTCCAATTTTGTCCTTATTTCAAAGGAGGCAAACCACTTCTAACTTCCTGTCTCTGGTAGGTTAAGGATAGGAAATCTGATTTTTAAAAAGATATAATTTGTTTTTTAAAGAGACAGGGTTTTGCTATGTTGCCCAGGCTGGTTTTGAACTCTTGGGCTCAAGCAATCCTCCTATCTTGGCCTCCCAAAGTGCTGAGATGACAGGCATGAGCCTCCATGCCCAGCCAAGATATGATTTAATCTCTGAAACTGTTTTCTGAAAATTCTAAAATATAGGCTAATCTGACATGATTTGCAAAATTTTATTGGCTTTATCCATATTTATTAAAGTAACCTCTAACCTCTTTTTACTCATCCATGACTCAATAGCTTGCTTCCTCATTCTTTAAAAGGCTAGAACATTGTTCTGTAGAAATGCTTGGCTTTCTCAACAGAAATGTCATGAAAATTAAACCAAACAGACAGCAAAAAGGAGAGTATATATCTCTTTAAGACATCTACCCTACTCATTAGATCTGCTACTTAATTTCTATTAGTCATGGCCTAATTCCCTGACTTTTTTTTTAAAGGCTCTGCACACATGGGTTATTGCTTTCTCTATAATTGGGTTCATTGAAAAATGGAAAATTCTATGAGCGGATGGCTATGGGCTTGCCATTGCTCATTTAGCAGAAGGCAAGTAGGCAGAAAGAGTTCTTCAGACTTTCTTCTCAAGGAAGCTTATTTTATGTGTTAGAATCCCCACATTCACTCTTCCTGGTGACTAAAATAACAATGACGAAGTGAGGGGACAGCAGAATAATTAGAGTTGTCTACCGCCAGTGCTATTCCTGGGTATTACTAGTCCAGATGTCTTGTGAGAAGCTGCACAGACACCACTTCAAACCCGGGCTTGTAGGGTGCAAAGTGTGACGAGAGGCTCACTCACCCTCGGTCCCAGCGTGCCAGAGTCCCCCTTGTCTCCACGATCACCCTTTTCCCAAAGAAAAGAGAAAAAACTCAATTAGTGGTGGTGGCAACAGTCTAGAAATCTCTTGGGTCTAAGGATGTATTTGTACCTTACAGCAGCACTTCGAATACGAACTTCTGAAGCGGAAAACAACAATATCCACCACCAAAATGGCAAATGTTTTTTTAAGATGCTGCTTGAAGGGAATTAAAATTCCTTTTTCAGATAATAGAGGATCTTGGAACAAAAATACATAGTAACTCTCACTAGGTGGGCTCTGCAAACGCAAAGCAAGCGGTTTCCATGGCACCCAAAGTAAGCTTTTACCTTTCAGATCGAGTCATGTTCTTCCTGCTATTTGAAGCGATTTGGGGCAAAGGGACAAAGAGCCAAGCAACTGTGCTGTCTGTTCTCTAAGAAGAAAACTATAGATAATTGGGACAGGGGAGGGATGGGGAGCTCATTCTAGGGAGAATTAGGAAAGAAGGGTCACAGGCCAGGCCGCCCTCTGATGATGGACATCTAAGGAAAGGTTGGTCTGCAGGGACACACCGGTGTTTAACCCAGACGGTGCTGAAGTGGACAGCAGCCGGCGGAACAGGCTGGCCGAGCTGAAGGTCATGGCCAGGGCAAACCTAGCTCTCTCTCTCTCTCTCTCTCTTTTTCCCCCCTAATGCAATATGAAAAACATCTTAAGTTTTATTTATGGTGTCATTACCTCACTTGTAGAGACAGCACAAATACTCTAAGCCCTCAAAATTCTCAGAACTGTAAGTTTGGGGAAGAGATTTGAACCTGTGCAGATTTAAAGGTTCTTTAAAACAGCCTTAAATGTATAGAGGCCTTTTCCTATATGGACTTCAAAGCATTTTTTTATATCTTTCTACATATTCATATAAACTGGGTAAGGAACAATGAAGAAAAGCAGGAAAAAGGATTATAATTTTCCCCCATCCACATTATGCTAATAACATTGAGTATAACAATTCGATTTGCTATGAATAGAGCATTAATACTCTCTGCTCTCTGTTTTCTTCATTTTGCACCCATTTTTCCACGTTATTAGCTAATGGCATTTTATTAGCTAATAGCATTTTATGATTCTGCTGACAGTAATACACTATTGCAGATAGCATAAAGAACATGATAAAGGGAAGAATTTCAATTGGTGGCAAAATTTTAATGCACTGTAGGGAGTCTACTAACCTAAAAGCAAAGTATAATTTGAACATTTATCACAAAGATAGCTAGGGGGTGAAAAATAAGATTATATAATACATAATTTAAATTAAGTAAAGTTCTTATTTTTTCCCAAAGAAGCTATTCTTATAAAACAGGAAATACAACTTCTCTTAAAGCATAGTTTGAAGCACAAGTATACAGGAAAACAAGCAAGATGAAACAAATCAATTGGGGATATCACAAGGAAGAAATCATTGCAATCTCAGTGTGTGAAAGCGTTTAATCTAAAACATGATTCTCTGTGGAAAAGGCAAAACAGCACAGACCTTGAAGGCCTCATGTTACATTAAAATGGTTACCAGGTTACTGACCTTTGACCCCTTTGGACCTCTAGCTCCTGATTCACCTTGTTTCCCCTATTGTGGGAGAACATGGAAGATGAAAAAGAGAAAATGACAGAGGAGATAAGAACAGAAAAGAGAAATCAGCAGTGACTCAGAATAATGAAGAAAATGGAAACACTTTATTTTAACTGCTTTAGTATATGGCTCTAGTAATGCTGGTTACTATAACATAAACATGAGTGCCATCACCATAACTTTAGTTTATTCTCCGATCTCTCCACCAACCTTCATTCCATTATTATTCTGAAGACTTCCTTCCCATCAGTGGATGGGAAGAGTTCTGTGAATAATTCTCATTAGGCTCAACAGTGTTTGCATAAATTTCCTTTTCATCAGAGAGTTAATCATTTCCTCTGTCTCTAGGATCGGTTATTAAAATAAAGTGTGACCACATTAGTTTGCAGGAAGTTTAGATGAACAAAGATCAAACAGTCTAATACATCCTTAGCTCTAATATTTTCAAGGTGTTACACTCCATCAAGTTACCATAGAAATGAATGCAGCATTTATTGATAGATTTTCTCAGTAAGTTTTAATATGCACTGAGTGATAACGTGCTAATACAATAGCACTTCTCCCTTTACGTTTGTGTGTTATTAAATTTGCTCACCAAACAGAGTAGATTAAACAGGGTACGTTGAATTTTAAAATCCCTTTTGCAAAGAATGAATTGGTGTGTGTTTCAATAAACTGTGATTTGGGCTATTTTTATACCTGTTGGGAAATTTAATTTTAGTTTTCCATGTTCTAAAGCATGGCATGCACTTCCAAATCAAAGACTGTTCTTTTCCAATGTAAGAATAACTGACCTTTGGTCCAGGGGCTCCGGGCTCCCCTCGCTCACCTCTCCCAGGAGGCCCTGCCTCCCCACGTTCTCCCTGTCACAAATTGCAAAACAGGTAAGTGGCTGGTCCTTGTAGATTAATAAATAAGTTGAATGAAATCAAACAAAGCAGAAAGTTACTTTGTATTTACCAACTACCCATAACTGTATTCATCTCTTAACATGAATTTATCTTACTTAATAATCAAAACAATTCCTGATGGTTAATTTTAGGTGTCACTTTGATGGACACCTAAAAAGCCAGCAAAGCATTACTTCTGGGTAATGCCTGGGCCACCATCCAATTGGCTGAGGGGTGGACAGAACAAAAGGGCAGAGGAAAGGCGAATTCTCTCTCTCCTGGAGCTGGGGCACCCTGCTTCTCCTGCCCGTGGACATCAGAGCTCCAGGTTCTCTGGCCTTTGGAGCCCAGGATTTGCACCAGTGGCCCCCGGGTCTTGTGGCTTCAGCCTCAGACTGAGAGCGACACCGCTGGCTTTCCAGGGGCTGAGCCCTGGAGCTTGGGCTGAGTTTCCAGCTTGCAGATGGCCTACTGCGCCTACTGCGGGATCCTCGGCCGCCATGTTCCGTTAGCCGATTCCTCTCCTAAATCCCCTCTTAGCGTGTGCTTGCTCCCTCTCCCTCCCTCTCTCTCTCTCTCTGTGTGTATGTATGTATATATATATATATATATATAATTGATTCTGTCACTCTGGAGAACCCTAGCTAATACACAGTCATTCAGTGTTGATATTATTATTCCCATTTTGCAGGGAAGGAAATGGTTTGGTAAATGCCCGTCAGAAAGCTATGTTGGTAAACAGAAGGACCTTTAAAAGCGATTGATAAGGGCCGTCCTTGTACCTCAAGACAGGAATGGACACCTGTCTTCCTTCTACAGCCACTTTTTATTACCAGCCAGGGGCTTGGCAGAGGGACGAAGCCCCACTTTGCAGCCCAGCGTCCCCGGCGTTAGTCCCGGCTCTGTCATTTGCCAGTTCTGTGTTTTAAGGCAAGTTAGTTACATTCTGTAAACCTCAGTTTCCTTCATAAAAACGGACAAAATTACAGTATTGATCCCATAATTTATGAATGTAAAAGCATTTGGAACGGTGACCACACAGGTATGACAGCTTTTTAATATATTCATGGCTCTGCGAAGTATAAACAGGGCTCCGATCCCCAAGGAGCTGGTGATCTAGTTAGGCAGACAACAGCCACATGAACAAAATAGTTACGAATTAAGGAGTAAGGCTGTATGTGATGGAAGAGGAATCTTCATTAGATTCTGGATGTTGTGGATTGGACTCACGGACGTGAGATCTGCGTCATGACCTGAAGGATGGATAGGGTTTATTTCATAATTATTGCTGTTGATGACTGTACCGTGGGCGGGTGCGGGAGCTGCATGACACACTTCACGTGCATTATCCCATTTAACCCACAGGGCAAATGAGAAAGGTGTTATTATTCATATTCCGTAGATGAGGAAGCCAAAGCTCAGAGACGTTAAGTAGCTTGCCCCAAATCGCAAAGCTTGTAAAGTGGGAGAGTTACAGTTTAAAACTGATTGTGGCTGGGCGTGGTGGCTCACGCCTGTAATCCTAGCACTCTGGGAGGCTGAGGCGGCAGGATTGCTCAAGGTCAGGGGTTCTTGAGACCCGGTCTCTACTAAAAATAGAAATAAATTAGCTGGACAACTAAAAATGTATATATATATAAAATTAGCCGGGCATGGTGGCACATGCCTCTAGTCATAGCTACTCGGGAGGCTGAGGCAGGAGGATTGCTTGAGCCCAAGAGTTTGAGGTTGCTGTGACCAAGGCTGATGCCATGGCACTCTAGTTTGGGCAACAGAGCCAGACTCTGTCTCAAAAAAACCCACCAAAAACTGATTGTGATCAATCTTCAATTTTTGCATACATGTTTTGTATATACATCTTTTGCATAGCTCTGATCATTTCCTTACCATAAATTCCTAGTTGGAGAATTGCTGGGTCAAAAAGTAAGAATACTTTAGATTTTATTATTTTTTTGTAGAGACAGGATCTCACTGTGTTGCCCAGGCTGGTCTCAAACTCCTAGCCTCAAGGGATCTTCCCAGCCTTGGCCTCCCAAAGTGCTGGGATTATAGGTGTGAGCCACCATACCCAGCCAAAAAGTATGAACACTGTAAAAGCTTGCCAAATTGCCCTCCAGGAAGATGGTGTCATTTTATACTCCTTAAACATAAGGTAGAGGGTATCTGGCTTCCTACATAAGCAGAATTTTAATAATCAAACATTTAAAATTCAGACTGTTGATGGCATATTCATGGATGAGAGAAGTCTCCTCCTCACTGAAGGAACTGATTTATCTCAGAAAGGGCAAGAAAGTAGGATTGGATATTTGATGGATAATGTAGGGCTTTAAATTCCAAGATCCTTATCCGTCATACCATGCTGCTTTGGGAAGGCTGTCTGGTTTTGTAGAGGAAGTGGGCAGGTTACAGCAAGGGTTAAGCAAGACTCTGGGATTCGCAGCATCAGCTGAGGAGTGTGAAAATGGACAGACTGGGAGAAAGGCACGGGACTTGACTGGATGTATGGGATGGAAAAGATGCCCCAGAAACTGCAGGACTTCTTTTCTTTACTCTTTTTAAGAAAACTCGTCTTCCCTGCCAATAAAGTGAGACTAAAGGGCTTCTGATAGTGTAAGGCATTTTTATTTTTTTAAAAAAAATGTACAGTATTTGGTGTTTCTTCTAATATTTTACTTTAAGAATTACAAAAGGAAGAATCCTAAACCAGTTGCTATACAATTGTTTTAGAGAAAAATAAAAACCTGAAAAAATCATTTAGCTGTATTTCACTACAGGAATGGAGTCTATATATCTTTACATAGAATCACTTTTTATTAATCTCACAATGCCCCTAATTAGCTCCCTATCACTCTGTGAAATTGTATCAGTTATTTGTTGACTTCTTTCTCTCCTATCTCTCCCTCCCATAGTAGAATGTAAGCATCAGGAAAGCAGAGACTGTTTGTGTTGCACTTGACTTTCCATTCTAAAATACAGAAAAACAACCAGCAAAAAAACCCCTGCTGAATTAGTGAATAAACAATTTTAGTAGAAGTATTCTAAAATATTCTGACTACAAGCCCATTTCTCTATATTTATGGAGGTCGCTCCCAGGCACTGCTGTGGCAGCAGGGACACAGCAGGACATTGTCAGAGTTTTATTTTTTATTTTATTTTTTTAAATTTCAGCATATTATGGGGGTACAAATGTTAAGGTTATGTATATTGCCCATGTAAAAGAGAGTTTTAGATGCCACTGCACGTCTTTCTTAACTATGATCTCTCTTCACTGCGTTGGGAGTAAAAAACACAGCCTTAGTTTATATTTTAAATCTGAATTTAGTGGCATAAATGCAGATTGTCTACATGACTAGAAAACAGTAGTGTTCAGCTGAAAGAGATTTGTAAACAATAGTGACTTTCCCATTATGATACTGAACCCATGTTAAGGTGGGCAATTCCGACGACAGTGAACTTCAAAATATAGTTAATAAAAGGAATTTCTGCCTGTCCACACTCCTTGTGGAAACACGAAACAGGTACAGCACATTCCTTATTTTTATTGGGGTTCAGAGCAGTGTCTGTTATAAAGGTAACATCACGCTAGGGTCTTCCTAACAGTAATCAATGTTGACTTTATGGCTCTACATCTGCATCTTTTTTTGGAACTGTAGAATAGTTTAAAATCAGTTCATGAAAGAAAAGATATTTTGGGATGAGCTTCACTCTCCACTGCCTGTGTTTCTTCTACCTTCCCTTATGTAGCAAACAAAATGCCACAAACGTTTGCAGATCTGGTCCCTGCCCGGGTCCCCTACAGGACCCGGGCTCCTCACTGTCCGCGCCCTCGCTGCCTTCTGTCCTCACCCCGCCTGCGGCTGGGCCTGAGCAAACACCTCAGTTCTCACAGTGACAGGATCACTCATCGTCCCCTCACTCGCTCTCTCTTCTCATTCCAGAAAGGCATGTCTCGTGTGAATCTGCTCAGGCTAACACAGCCATTCCTCATATTTTGTTAATAAGCCTGAAGGCTCATTAGGTGAGGAAGAAATTTCTTAAGAAAACAACAATTTTGCATAATTTGACCGAGTTTCAGTCCGCCTTAGGCCATACATAGTTTCCATCTACTAGAATTAGAGGTATTTTCACTTGACCAGCGGGAACGCGTGTTCTTCTGTCAGAACAGACCATGAACATATTTCTCTAACACTTGGAAATCATCCCTGGCTTATTTCTGGTGAATGCAAGACACATTGAGGCAAGGATCACTATGGTTTAAAAATAAAAGAATGCAGTTTGATGTAATTTTGCCCTTCTTTGATTCACGAGCCTGTCATGAGTGAAGTTCTGCATCAGAGCTGTAGTTTTTTATGTCTTACTGGGTAGATGAAAAGAGAACCATGGGCCTGACTGTGTTCACAGCAATGCATTTTTTTCCATGGCAGCATATAGATTTTGCTCATAGGGTCCTCTCTGGGCTTGCCAAGTAGAAGATCATGAGATGGTTTTCATTATAGAATATTTCTGCCGATGTTATTCAGGGTGGATCCTTTTGGGATGAGGCACTGAGGAATCTATATGACATCAGTACTTGCCTTTGAAATATAGGCAGTAATGGGAAGAAGTCATAATGTTTGATTTACAAGTATATCCTAAAATTGGCAATAAGGGGCAGGAGTTAATGGGTGCTCTCTCTGCTCCTCAGAATCCCCCTCCTTCTTCATGTGGCCAGGAGGCTAATAGCATCATAGCAGTTTAGGAGCAATTTGGGAGACAAGTGAACAACTAACATATTCCACCATCCTGTCGCCTTGCCTAAGGCTTTCTGGAGTTAACTTTGCATTACTCTATTGAATGCAGTGTCCCATCTGAAGTGTCAGTAAAGGGTGCACTAAGCTGCTTTTGTTCTCTTTTCAGCAAAAATATCTGATCATCTCAATAACTGAGTTACTCCACATTTCTTTCAATGAACTAAAAATAGAAAACAGAAATTTCAGTAAAAAAATAAGGAAAAATTATTCTACTTACTTTTGTTCCTGGTAGCCCTGGTAAGCCTGGTTCTCCTTGAGGACCAAGGAAACCTGGTTCTCCCTTTGAAAAGATGGGCATGAGATCATTATTCATTTGATAGTAAATAGATCAAGCTGAACTCATTTCTTCCTACTAGGATTTTACTTCCTTGATTATATACAGCCTTCTAGCTGACATCTAGCTACAGACTATAAAATTGATCAGAATCGGTTTTGATCAGTGAGAACACTTCGAATGAAATGCTGGAGAAGCTTTAGAAAGTGAAAGTGACAAACTAATCAGCTAAATGTCTTTACAAGCTCCTTTCTCACCACTTACCACGTTAAGGCACACTATGTCTGGGTGAATGTGGTAGGTAGCCCCTGAGATGGGCCTCAGTGACCCCACTCCCTGGTGTTTGAGCCCTTGTGTAATCCCCTCCCCGTGAGTGTGGACTGGATCTACTGACTCACATCTAACTGCAGGAGTGAGGGGACAGCACTTCCCAGTCTAAGTTGTCAAGAGACTGCGGCTTCCATTTTGGGGCCCTTTTTGTTCTCTCGGGCTTGGATCGCTGGCTTTGGAAGACGCCAGCTGCCATGCTGTGTGCGGCCCTATGGAGAATCCCACACTGTGGGGACGAGGTCTGCAGCCCGAACATGTGTGCCCTAGGGGCAGATGCCCCGGGCTGCAGAGTCCGCAGAGGGGACCACAGCCCCCGCCAACAGCCTCGCTGAGATCTCCCCAGAGACTGGCCCGGCGCACCTCACCGTGCTGTGCTTGCATCCCTGTCCCTCAGACTCTGGGAGAAGATGTTATTTTAAGCCACTACGTTTTGGGGTGATATGGTAGGCAGCAATAGATAACTGTCACAATGGATGTGACCAGGGAAGAGATTCAGGAAAGTTAAGCATGAAAGAAAAAAATCTCTCTCCTTTCCATGCCTCCAATATCTGCACTGCCCAGTCATACACCCAGCTAGGGTAATAAAAACTGTATTTGGTCTTGGTCCCCAATTCCTGGCACTGACCTCCTAAAAGCCTTGGAATTTTCTCAGTGGTAGGAGTAGGGAACATCTTTTGTTATTCATAACCAACCCCTTTCGACCATACCTGAGTTTGTGTGAATGAGGTGACTTTTATCAGCCCCTAGATAACTTCAGGATGGGAACTGGTTGCCAGAGAAACCAAGGGTTAATGAGCAGGTTGGAACTTTCTGCCCCACCTCCCAGCCCCTGCGGAGGGGAGAGTGGCTGGAGATTGAGTTCAATTGCCATGTAATCAATCATGCCTGGGTAGTGAGACCTCCACAAAAACCCCTAAATGACAGGGACGGGAGAGCTAGTGAGTTGGAGAGCACATCCATGTGCCAGGAGGGTGGAATGTCCAACTCCTACAGGGACAGAGGCTCTCATGCTTGGAACTTATGCTTGGACTTCACCCTATGTACTTTTTCATCTGGCTGTTCATTTTTATCCTTTATAATCAACTATAAAAGCAAGTAAAGCATTTTCCTGAGTTCTGTGAGTTGTTCTAGCAAATTGTCAAGTCTGATTTGTGAGAACCCCTGAATTGGCAGCCAAGTGAGATAGAAATGTGGGTAACCTTGGGACTCAATCCATGGTGACTGAACTGAGGTCAGTCTTGTGAGACTGAGCCCTTAGATCTGTGGCGTCTTATACCAAGCAGGGTAGTTAGTGTCAGAATAGGATGGTGTCAGAGAATCAAAGAGTTAGAAAATTTTTGTTGGAAAAGACACCACATATTTGGCATGAGAAAATACCCGAGACCAGTGTACACACAATGTAAGGGTTTAACTACTTGAAGTCAATGACAAAATTTTAAAGCAAAAATCATATTGGCTCTATTCCCATATATCCTGTTTTTTCCCCCTCTTGGATTATTTCTGGAGCAGTTGTTAATGTTGTTTGATATATTTGATTTCTTCTAAGGCAACAATATTTCAACCTTTGTTTCATGATACTTGGAGTTGAGCAGGAAGGTGCAGAGAGAATGTTTTACAAGAAGTGCTAAAATGTCATGAAATATTTTTCAAACAAGTGAACTTTCAAAATATGCTACATAAAACCGTGGGCATTGGGTGAGGAACAAAAGGATATCACAAAACATATCATACTGATCTGTAAGTCAAACAGATTTACCTCTAGCTTTGGTGCTCATGAACTGATTTAAGAAAAAAAAAGATGGGGGTGGGGAATTAATGCTTAAGGTTTATTGCTTGTGAACTTTCTGTAACTCTCTATTCTATCTACCCCACACCCTCACATCTAATGGAAAGGAGAATCTGAAAATATAATTTTGGGTGGATCTCTTAAATGGTCTAAAATGAAAATCTGAATTATATTCAGAGAACTCAGTGATGACCGTTCTACTTCTAGTAAAAGAGTTTAACTTCTTATTTCATAAATAAAAAATTATAAGGAATACATTTATTAACATGCAACATATTTTTCCCAATAAAATTATATATACAAATAAGTAAATATTCCCTTCCCATTTTCAAGAGAAATGCTGTGCTAAAGTCAATGTGTATCATTGGTAACAGCTTAGTGTCATGGAAATGCAAGGCAAGTTAATATGTTGAAAGTTTACAGGTAGACGAGAACTCTTGCATATCTTCAAGTAGAAATAAAATGAGCTCACGTTTGTTTAGCAAATCAAATAGAAGCACCATTAAAACATACTAATAAAAGAGAAGAAAAAACAGTAAATGTTGCAAAAACACATCTTATACAGGTTAGTATTTAGTTTATAAAAAGATGAAACATGCAGGTGTATTATTCACAAATGAGGCTTTGTGATCTCAGGAGCTAGACAAAAGTATTTTTTCTTCCTTTTTAAAAAGAACATATTATTAAATTCCCTTTAGTAAGTATATAGAAATTTTTTTTAAACAGAATGTTCAGGGCAAAAATTTTTATTTTATTTATTAATTTTTTATTTTATTTATTAATTTTTCATTTATTTTATTTTATTTATTAGCAATACATTTGACAGTTTCAACAATGTTAGCACTACTAATATTGGCTAATTTTAAAGGCTTTGAGTATGATTAGTTATACCTGATCATGCCACTCTAAGAAAACATCTACCATATCTATCCATTCGGACATACTTTTCACTTCAATTTATTCAAGGAGAAAAATAGCATACTTAACTTAAGGATCGGATCACAGTTTTATGTTTATTTACTTCCAGAGTTCTCAATCACTTTAGAGACATTATTTCCATCCTATCTGTATCTTGGCAGGATGGGGAGGAGATAATTACTGGTCTCTTTTCTCTCTCAGCCTTCATAAACAATTGCTGAAGTCCACAAGGCATGAATATATCTACTCACAGTCATGAGCTAGTTGGGCTGATTTTTACCTTGTTAAGCTTATACCAGAGGTTCTCAAAGTGTGCTCTGGGGCCCCCTGGGGCTCCCCGGACCTTTTCAGGGAGTCTTTAAGGTCAAACTATTTTCGTAACACAAAGACATTATGTACTTTTTTTACTTTCTTTCCCTGTTGAGTGCACAGAATATGAAAAATTCATTATATGGTTCCAGATTCCACATTGCGCCTACCTCTTGGAAACTACCACGTGTGGAGTTTGAGGTAGGATCAAAGAAGAAGATCAATAGTTACCTGAATAGACTATTAAATAACCTTCTTCTGTCCAATTACATATCTGTATGAGGCTGGTTATTCTTCATATAGTTTAATCAAAACAACAAATTGCAACATATTGAATACAGATACAGATATGAGAATTCAATCACCTTCTACTAAGCCAGATATTAAAGAGATTTGACAAATCCTCCCAAAAAGTATAACAATGTCACTTTTCTTGCTCAACTTTTTAAATCTTGTCTTTAACAAAAAACAATTATAGTTCATAAAACATGTTATTTAACATGTAATCGATTTTAAAAATTTTCTGTTTTAATTTCTGAAGTTCTTTCAATCCTAATTTTTAAGAGTGTAAAGGGATTATGAGACCAAAATGCAAGAACTGCTGGTGCAAAAATGCAGAATTGTGTTAAAGGCTGAATTTGCAAGCCAGAGTCCTGAGTGCCAAATAATACAAGATTCTGGCATTGTTGAGGGGTGGCTTAGATAAGACTTAAGTTAGAAAATACAAGCAAAATAATACAAGCAAAGCACTTAGCACTTTAGAAAATACAAGCAAAGCACTTAGCACTCTCACAATAAAGTGTGTACAATATATGCTTGTCATTATTGTTTCCCTTATCTTATAGGCTTAAAATATTAGCTATCATTAATATTTTTATTATTAGTAATAGTATTACAATCTCTGCAACATAGTTGGTAATATACAAGGAGACTTCTTGTCACCTTCCAACCTGCTTGGGGCTACATTCAATACTTCTTCTTCTTTTAAGAAGTAATCTGAAATTTTCTAATGTGAAATATTATTTTATGAGCAATACCTACTTTCCAGGGCAGTTAGGATTGCAACACCAAAAGAGGTTTAAAACATACAAACTGTGTAAGATAGAGACGTGACAAGTTTCCTCAGAATGAATTTTCTTCCTTTAAGGAAGGAAAAGAAGAAAGCGATCATACCTATTAAATTTCCCTAAATAAGTTAACCCGTTAAAAAAAAGAAATACTTTCTTGCAATAAAAAGCAAGTAAGTGGCTATTAGTCACAATTCTTGTCAACTAGGATAGAGGGAAGAGACTGGGGGTTGGGAAAGGCAGGAGTACTAAGCAAAACACTTTTAGAAAATCATCTTTGGAGTAATCAGACTACAAAACCACAAGCTAACATAAGTTTTCAGGGTAAGAAACAGGAGAAATAACTATTTATATTGGAATATATAATGATTCTCTCAGCTGTTTTACATTTTTAATCTTCTTTAATCAACGGGAAATAAGCGAATGACAAATTGAAAATTATTTACACTTATTTGTCTGAGGAGACAAAGTGGGGAGGAAATGTGAACTATAATGGAATTAAGCTCTTACATTACTTTTAATAAAGGAAAAAATAAATCCAGAAGGGTTTTTTCTCCCCCCCCCTTTTTTACTAGGCAATTACCTGAATTAGAAAA